TGTCTGTTTTGTCTGCTTCTTTCACCAGACAATATGATATGGAGGGAAGATGGGGAAACTGGATTGATTTCTGTCACTTAGTATTTGGCTAAGTCCCTTAAGCTTTCAGAGCCTCACTTTGCTCCTCTGTAAAATGGGCTAACAATTCTTAGCACACAGGAGGCCAATGAGATAAGGTAGAGGAAAGCACCTAGAACACTTGTGGGAAAGCAGTAAATTTCCTTCTTCCGTTATAATTACAAATTGTCTTATGGAAAAAAACACTAGATTTGAAATGCTGGCTCTTCCAGTTATTAGCTGTTTGAACTTGAGCAAATGCATTAACTCTTCTGAACTGAATAATAATACCTATCTCGTGAAGCTGTAAGAATTAAAGGCATACAGTAAACTTCCATTATTTTTAAATGATTTAAAAAGTAGTTACAACTAGTTATTACTGAAATAAATAAAGCAAAGATAGAAATTACTATTAATAAACTATTTTGTTTTTTAAAAAGATACAGATATGGGAAGGTTTGAAATAACTAAAAATGTTAATTAAACAACCACTTGTTCTCTATCACATATTTCACGATCGCCTACAGATGAAGACTGTTTTTTAAACTTTTCTTTCTTTCTTTCTTTCTTTCTTTTCTTTCTTTCTTTCTTTCCTTTCTTTCCTTTCTCTCTCTCTCTCTCTCTCTCTCTTTCTTTCTTTCTTTCGAGGCGGAGTCTTGCTCTGTCACCCAGGCTAGAGTGCAATGGTGTGACCTCAGCTCATTGCAAACTCTGCTGCCTGAGTTCATGAGATTCTCCCGCCTCAGCCTCCTAAGTAGCTGAGACTACAGGCGCCTGCTGCCACGCCCAGCTAAGTTTTTGTATTTTTATTAGAGATGGGGTTTCACCGTGTTGCCCAGGTTGGTCACTAACTCCTCAGCTCAGGCAATCTGCCTGCCTAGACCTCCCAAAGTGCTGGGATTACAGGCATGAGCCACTGTACCCAGTCTAAAGTTATTTTTCTTCACCTATCTTAGTACTTACAGGACTTGACACAGTATATAATTACTATTTCAGTTAATAAATAGAATAGGCTGCTTGACACTTGCAAATTAGGTATATTACGGGCAAACAAGTCATCCCTCTTATGGAAAATATTTGAAATTTTAATACAATTCTTCCATTTACATGTGAAAGGTGTTTCTACTCTAAAAGTAGCAAAATATGATAATGCGATGTTATTTTACATTTCTGGAATTCCCATCATTGTAAAAAGGACTCTAAATCTCACTGTGAATTTCTGAAGGTTGGGTATATATCAGAATCACCGATAACGTGGCTTGGGAAACAAAGTTTGTATTTGTACAGTTCTTTTTAATTTACACCGTGATTTACAGTACCTTAGCTCACTGGCTTATGACTTGCACAAAATCATTATGTTATCCATTTTGTAGGTAGGGAAACCAAGGTCAAAGACTCTGTTTGGCACAAATTTAAAGTTAGAACATGAAGTCAGTCTCCTTCCAAACCACAATGTAACAGGGGAAGGACAAGGTACCTGAGCAAAAAGATAAGAGTAAAAAGCAAGGAGGACTGACACTGTGAAGGCATCTCTCTGGAAAGAGCCTCCCAAGGTGTGGGTCTCTCTTCTCCACCTTTTCCCACGTGAACCATCATCAGAAAAATGAAATTTTAGATAACAGGCCTTCTACTGTCCGTAGAAGTACAATGTATCTTTTGGTTTACTTCATTATCATTATTTTTTGTTAACTATGGCAAAGAATGGTTTACTTTTCCCACTTTTTTTTTTTTTTTTTTTTTTTTTGAGACAGAGTCTCGCTCTGTTGCCAGGCTGGAGTGTAGTGGCACAATCTGGGCTCACTGGAACCCCCGCCTCCCAGGTTCAAGTGATTCTCCTGCCTCAGCCTCCTGAGTAGCTGGGATTACAGGCACGCATCACCATGCCCAGCTAATTTTTATATTTTTAGTAGAGACAGGGTTTCACCATGGTGTCCAGGATGGTCTTGATCTCCTGACCTTGTGATCCACCTGCCTTTGCCTCCCAAGGTGCTGGGATTACAGGCGTGAGCCACCATGCCCGGGCTTTCTACTTTATTTTTACGTATATTAACATGTTTTCATTTATCTTGTTTTACTCATTTACCTTTTTTATCATTTAATGTATATATCTATATCAAGTGTTCTTAACTGAAGGTTCAAAAACGAGTCCATGGGTAGATTCAGGCAGTCTGTTAACTTTGTGGTAAAAACCTGTATCTTTATTTTCACTAACCTCTGAAGTTTAGCATTGTCCTCAGTTATAAATGCAGGAAAAAAGGCATTATGTTTCAGATATCTCATAATATAAGCTCATCATTACTTTGAAGTTACGGTATTTATTAGACATGCCATTAGATTTTTATTTGATACAGTAATGATAAAACACATTTATCATTCTTCAGCAACATAAACTATGTTGTTAATTTATTTTAATATTATTGGTAAGTCTTCTTTTGTAAGTTTGTATTTCACATAATGCATTTGAAAATAATATTCTGACAAGGGGTCCTTATTTTCACCAGAATGCCATAGGTGTCTACAACTCAGAAAAGATTAAGACCCTTTTAAAAAGGAGAGTACAAAGCAGCTGTGTAAGTAAGATATCTTATTCAAAATTTGGACCACCAGTGGAAGAGGTTACTAAATCTATTTCTGAAGAGCTGAGGCTCTTCCAGGAACTAAGACCATCCAGGAAGTAAGACCATCCAGGAACTAAGACCATCCAGGAACTGAGACCATCCCGGAACTGAGACCATCCAGGAACTGAGACCATCCCGGAACTAAGACCATCCCGGAACTAAGACCATCCCGGAAGTAAGACCATCCCGGAACTAAGACCATCCCGGAACTAAGACCATCCCGGAACTAAGACCATCCCGGAACTAAGACCATCCAGGAAGTAAGACCATCCAGGAACTAAGACCATCCAGGAACTAAGACCATCCCGGAACTAAGACCATCCAGGAACCGAGACCATCCAGGAACCGAGACCATCCCGGAACTGAGACCATCCCGGAACTGAGACCATCCCGGAACTGAGACCATCCAGGAACTGAGACCATCCCGGAACTGAGACCATCCCGGAACTGAGACCATCCCGGAACTGAGACCATCCAGGAACTAAGACCATCCAGGAACTAAGACCATCCAGCCATTCAGATTCAGCTAGTTGTCCAACCCTTAAAGATAGCTGGCTATGCTTGATCACAGCACTTAACAAACTATGCTAACACAATCACTTACCCATCCGTTTCCCCCTCAAAACAGGACCAGTACTGTGCTAAACACGGGGGATAACAGAGATGAAAACAACTTTCTATGTGTCCTTAAGAGTGAGGCCAGGCCAGGTGCAATGGCACACACCTGTAATCCCAGCACTTTGGGAAGTCAAGGCGGGTGGATCACGAGGTCAAGGGATCGAGACTATCCCGGCCAACATGGAGAAACCCCATCTCTACTAAAAATACAAAAACTAGCCGAGTGTGGTGGCACGTGCTTATAGTCCCAGCTACTCAGGAGGCTGAGGCAGGAGAATTGCTTGAACCCAAGAGGCGGAGGTTGCAATAAGCTGAGATCATGCCACTGCACTCCAACTGGTAACAGAGCAAGACTCTGTCTCAAAAAAAAAAAAAAAAAGGAGTGGCCAATCAGGGTATTAAGAAGGAAGGCCGGGCGTGGTGGCTCCAGCCTGTAATCCCAGCACTTTGGGAGGCCAAGGCAGGTGGATCACGAGGTCAAGAGATCAAGACCATCCTGGTCAACATGGTGAAACCCCGTCTCTACTAAAAGTACAAAAAATTAGCTGGGCATGGTGGCGCATGCCTATAATCCCAGCTACACAGGAGGCTGAGGCAGGAGAATTGCCTGAACCCAGGAGGCGGAGGTTGTGGTGAGCCGAGATCGCGCCATTGCACTCCAGCCTGGGTAACAAGAGTGAAACTCTGTCTCAAAAAAAAAAAAAAAAGAAGAAAAAGAATGATTACATGATTAGGAGGGCACCTAACCTAACCTGGGCATGGGGCGTCAAGGATAGCATTTACAAAATGTGAGCCTTCCTAATTTTGTATCTTTTTTTTTTGAGTAAGTCTACCTTAATTTTATAAGTAATCGTAAATCAAACCAGCTGATCATACAGTTAGTTGTATGTTTAGAGTGAAAGGTATAATAGGTTCATCTTTACTAGGAAATACAGCTGATAAAGAATGAGATAGACACCTCTTTAGTCTACCTTCCAGTACTCAGAGGATACCCAAAATAATAATGCTGTTTATTTTGCGGAGCTGTACACAAGATTTTATAATTTTCTATATGTATGATAAGCTTTAATTAAAAATATACAGTTATAAAATGATAAAAGATAGGAAAGACAGGCCTATCAGCATAAACAGTGAGTCCTGGATCAAAGGCAAAAGAAAATAAAATTCACCAAAATTAATAGTCTTTTCAGAGCCATATCTCCAGCCTTGTTTTTTCTGTTGTTGGAAGACATTAAATAACTTTCTGTCAAACATTTAAATGCTCAAAATCTCTTTTAATTTTGCTCACTTGTTAGAAATAATTCAAGCAAAAAATATACATTTAAATTAAAAGATTCTATTTACTACAAATGTTATTTTCAGAGATTTGCAAAACTTTGGTTATTACAGAATTGGGTCAGAATTTGGAAACTTAAATGAGAATATCCATTAAAAACCCTCTCCTATAAATGTGCTCCCTTGGCTCCATTTTTATATGGGGCACCACAACTCCAGAGTAGCCCCAATTTCAGGAGCTAATGATGATGATAATTAAGTGTGTCACTCAGATCCCATGTATATACTTTCTTTAGTACAATGTTGATAATCATGTCAATTTTTCCCTTCAATATTTAATCACTAATCAAAAGGCATTTAGGTCAAATTAGCTCGACAAATGAGATGTTTTTTTAAGTAAGGTGATGTGAAACGTCTTTAAGGTGAACTGACCTCAAGTTGAACCCTTTGTTCTAAATTCTTGTAGGATCTCTGCAGTAACTCCCGGGTCCCAAGGACTCCATACCACATCAAGTTTTTAGTTCGGCTCCTGAAAATAAATATTGGCAGGCAGTTTCAGGAAATTTTATTTACTCCTTAAAGGCAGAGCAAGCAAAAGAGATAACAAATGAGGGAAAAACTGCCTTTATGTAACAGCATTATTACTTTTATTACAATTACCTGCATTTTTCAGGGTGCTCCTCTCTTTTATTGTTAAATTCCAATGAAATTTTTGCATCTAATCCAATCCCAAAGTAATTGTTCATAACACATTTTTCTGAATATCCATCTCTATGATCATAGGGAAAAGCACATCAAAGTCAATTTCAGATTCATTACAACAATTGCAATTTGTACACAAGACAGTACTTAACACCATTTAAGCTTCCATTCCTTATAGTAGATTGTAAAAGTCGGCGCTGATCACTTCCTATTCCGATGCCATGTGTACAACCACAGGACATATGTACAATATCTGACACATGTGACATAAAGTGATGGTGAGCAAGGCAAAACAGACACACAGTTACGGTGTGGTCTTCTACTAACTGTAACAACATCTTAGTTCTAGTTCTAGGTAAGTTCCTCACTATACAGAAAAATGCAGATGATTATGGGAGGGTCTTACAGTCAGGTGCCAATTCTCTCTCTCTCTCTCTCTCTCTTTTTTTTTGTTTATCATTAGAAAGTCTCCTCCGCTTCTACCCTTAACAGTGGACAAATATTTACTGAGCAAAAGAGTACTAGATCCAGTCCGTTCTTCTAGGTGTTTTGGAACATTTAAAATATGGTACTGTCCTTGAGGTCTGTCATTACAGAAATGAGATATAACAAAAGCAAAATTAAGAATGGAAGTGAAAGAAAGTGTATATTGAACTGCCAAAAAATTGTAGGAGTCTTAAGAAGGGAAGAGATCCATGTGGGCCAAAAGATTCCCAAAATAAGTAAACCTGGAAGCTGACGTGGAAAGATAACAGATTTGGCAAGACTGAGAAGAAAGGAGGGAAAGGGAATAGCATCAGTTCTATTTATTGGCACCTTCCTTGGCCTGAGGGTTGCTCTCAGAGAGAATGGGCTGAAAAAGGACCTACCTCAGGGACAGATCATGGCGACCACTGAATTTTAAAGGGCTCAATGTGCTTGGCATTATCAACTTTTGTAATTTTCTGATCATCTTTTTTTAAAATATGGAACCATAGTTATTGCAATACCATTTAAAATGTTACAATTCATGTTAAAAAGAAAAAAGAAGAACCCCAACAAAATACTTGCAAAAGCATTTTCTTACACGGAATCTGGATCTGGGTCAATAAACGGGGTGGCACCGAAAGGGTCAATGTTTGCCAGTAACATTTTGTTGATAATTGAACTCCCAGCAATTGAGGCAGCTAGTCCTGCTCGTAAACCTAGACAGAAAAACAAATAACACGTGGGATCACATGTTAAGAAAAAACAGAAAAAGAACCAGTCCATCAAAGCCTAATATCAAATATCTTGCTTTTAACAGCCTGGTTCTCAGTGCCTACTCCTCTCATTAATCAAAATTATGAACCAAGGCACTTGTCAATACAAGGCTTTTGACACTTCCAAGGATCTATATGTTATCTTACAGGATTAAGGAGAGGAGGCCCTAAGTAGGAATGGCTTTGTGACACTTTCCCATTTACCAACCCAGTAACTCTGTGACTTCAACAAATACATGTTACTTCCTTTGTCATAGCCAAGACAGTATTAAGTGTCTACGGAATTTACAATAAAGGTGGGATTACTTTTATGTATTTATTTGTTTATTACTTTTATTTATTTATTTACAAAATGGCATGGAGTTATCACTTCCAGACTCAAATCATAGATAATGAGACTCAATTTAAAATATTAAGAGATGTATTAAGGTGAAAACCCAGTGTTAGTTTTAAGAATAAGCAGAAAAGTATTAAATGTAGGCATCTGTGAATTCTGGAAGAATATAGTATTAAATACAAAAATGAAGCCTCTCTCTTACTTCAAATTTATTTCAACATGCTCACCAACTGGTTTTCTAACTAGTTACAGTATTCAAAGCTAATGAATTTTATGATCTACTTAACCCAACAGGAAAGCTAGAAACACAATTCTGGAGAGGGGACAAAGTAATTGGGACTGGTGGGAACCAGGGAAACACTAGGACATTAGAAAAACAAGTTCTTTCTTTTTATTTTATTTTTTTTAGAGATGAGGTCTCACTCTTCACCTAGGCTGGTGCACAATGGTGTGATCATGGCTCACTGTGGCCTCCATCTCCCAGGGCTCCCACCTCAGTCTCCAAAGTAGCTGGGACTATAGGCATGTGCCACCATGCCCAGCAAGTCCTCTCTTTAGCAAACATCCCTTTCCTCAGTACTATGCTCTTCTTAGGGAATAATTATTATTCATTATTTTAATTGATAATATTCAGTCAATTATCAAACACAATCAATTTTGTTCCTCCATTTAATGTCATAGTTTTACATACACTGTGGAATACTTCTGATGTCAATTTCCTTTACATTTCAACAAGTAAATGAACGAATAAAAAAATAAATTTAGTAAGCATTAAGAACAGTTTGGAGAGATGACAGCCATACTCCAGCTGCCCCACAGAAAAGTTTTAATTTCTTTTCTTTTCTTTTCTTTCTTTCTTTTTTTTTTTGAGACAGACTCTCACTCTGTTGCCCAGGCTGGAGTGTAGTGGCACAACCTTGGCTCACTGAACCTCCTGGGTTCAAGTGATTCTCTTGCCTCAGCCTCCCAAGTAACAGGGATTATAGAGGCGTACCACCATGCCTGGCTAATTTTTGTATTTTTTAGTAGAGACAGGGTTTCACCATGTTAGCCAGGCTGGTCTCGAACTCCTGACCTCAGTTGATCCGCCTGCCTCGGCCTCCCAAAGTGCTGGGATTATAAGCATGAGTCACCGTGCCCGGCCAAGTGTTAATATTTTCGAAAATGTTTTAAGGTTAACCATAGTCCTTTTAGCTTTATTCCAGAGCGGTTATCCTAAGGTTCCCAGGTGGAATAGGAACACGGCCTCTAAACCTGCAGGCTTTTCCAGAACCAGGTATGTTCCAGATTGATCTTCCTTTTTTTCTTTTAATATTTCTATTTTGATATAATTGATATATCAGAAAATTAACCCTTTTGAAGTTTTTAGATAATTCAGTTGTTTGTAATATATACACAAAGTTGAACAACCATCACCACTAATTCTAAAATCTTTTTGTTACCCTGCAAAGAAATGGTGCACCCAATAGCTGTCATGTTCCATTCCATTGATCACCCCACTTCCAGTTCCTCGGGAACCACTATCTACTATCTTTCCTTATGGGTTATGACTACTCTGCCCATTTTATATAAATGGAATCATATTACATTTAGCCCTTGTGTTCATTTTCCATAATGTATCTAAGGGTAATCACGTAATCACATGTATCAGTGCTTCGTTCTTTTTAATGGGCAGATAATATTCCATTGTATGAATATATCACTTTAGTTTATCCATCCAACTGATGGATGTTTGGGTTGCTCCCACTTTGGGGCTATTGTGACCCTGCTATAAATAATCATGTCCAAGCTTTTGTGTAGACACGTATTTTTGATTCTCTTGGTTGTATTCCTAGTAGTAAACTTGCTGGGCTACATGTAAACTCTATGTTTAACATTTTAGGAACTGTGAAACTGTTCTTCAGAATGGCGCCACCAACGTATGAAGGTTCTGATTTCTCCACATCTTTGCCAGTATTTGTTACCATCTGTCTATTTCGATCACAGTCAACCCAGTGGCTTAAAGCGGCACCTCGTTATGGTTTTAATTTGCATTCCCCTGATGGTGTTGAGCATCCTTTCATGTATTTATTGGCTACTGTGTATCTTCTCTGGTAAAAAATGTCTATTTAGATCCCTTTCTCATTTTCAAAGCAGGACATTTACCTTTTTACTGTTGAATTTTAAGAGTTCTTTTTATGTTCTGGATATCAGTCCCTTATCAGATACATTACTTGTAAATTCTTAAGTTGTATTTTACCAAAATTAATAGTTTTGGGATTCAAAGGACACTTTCCTGATAGTGTCAGGAAACTATTAATCCCAAAACTATTAATTTTGGTAAAGTCCAATTTACTTGTCTTTTGTGGCGTGCGCTTCTCATATCTAAGAAATCATTGCCTATTCCACAATTATGAATACTTTACATCAAGATGTCTTAAAATGACTACAGAGAGACTTAGGACTTAAAACGAAAAGGATTCAGCAGAACACTGACTAAAAAACACCAAAAGGAAAGCTTAAGAAGTAGTGGACATAAGATGGGATTTACTTTGGAAACTTAGTAAATGCAGGTTCTGGGACTTCAATCCAGAATTACTGAATCATAATTTCTTAGGACAGGCCCAGAAACACGTGTTTTAATACTTCCCAGGCAACTTTTGTACTGGGAAGAATCTAAGGGCCTGGATTCTGACTGAAAGTAGAACAAGACCATTCCACTAAAAGAACAGGTATCTTTAAGAACATGTTTCCACAGTTTATGGAAATAAATACTTACACATTTTTATAGAAATACTGAAAAATACACGGTGTTTCAGAATCTGTACTACCTGGGCAGATGATTCTCGTATTGAGCACCGGGAGGTTTTCTTTGCTGGCTGCCACAGCTGCACCAGGGAGAGAATCAGTGTGAGAATGGCCATGACTTGCCCGGGCATCTGGAGACTGAGGTGCCGTTTTAACTGCTGGCAAAAAGTCCACATTAGAAAGAGCTAATGATAAAGCTATAAAAATAAGCAAGTTCTTATAAATTTGAAACAAAACAATGTTTAAACAATCGGTAGAAATGAAAATATTATGTGTAGTTTTTGTTTACACTTTGAGACTTACAGGGAGGGAATCCGAAGTCCTAATTCTAAGCTCAAATAGAAGAAGACCAGTAGGAAATAGATGCCTACCATAATTAAAGGTCACTAATACTCATAATTTGATTATAATCAACCCACATTTAAAGATAAATGAAACTTCTGAAGTCTGCTTATTTTTTTAAATGAAACATATGTGTTATATGCACACTACCCATGTGATCCTCTTCTCATAAACATGAAGTGAATGATCAAACTTAATGAATGTAATTCTCAGAGCAAACGTGTGAAACACAATTTAATATTGTCTTCAATAAGTGATGAGGCTGGGTGTGGTGGCTCATGCCTGTAATCCCAAGGCTGCGCAAGGCTGAGGCAGGAAGATCACTTGAGATCAGGAATTCAAGACTAGCCTGGGCAACAGAGCGAGACCCTGTCTCTACAAAGATGCAAGCCAGGCATGGTGGCATGCACCTGCAGTCCCTGCTACCTGGGAGGGTGAGGCTGGAGGATCACATGAGCCCAGGAGTTTGAGGTTGCAGTGAGCTATGATCACGTCACTGTACTCCAGCCTGCGTGACAGAGAGGATTCTGTCTCATAAACAAATAAATGGAAGAAAATTTGCATCTATCTTCAAGTGAAATGAACATATTTTTCCCATACTTCTCAGTTATTTATACAAAATGATGATTTGCCCAAAGTTCTATATTCTTGTAAAAGCTCAACACATCTAAAAATTATTCTGAAACATAATTAATCTCAAAGTAAACAACAAAAAGAAAGATTTAACTCTAAACTGAGGCAAGTTAATGCAGGGCAGATGTTACCCTTAAACAATTTAAGAGTTACCGGTAGGTATTTTGAAGAAACAGTAATCCTTAAACTCATTTTAAAATACTCTAAAACTTAATTATCTTCACTCTCCCTAAAACTAATTATAAACAAACTATATTAATTTTACACTCTATTCTCTCATTCAAAAACAGTCCCACTAAAGCACCAGAACAGCCACCCCTTGTTTAAACAGATAGGGATCCTGGGGCTAATTTCTCATTAAAAACAACTTTTTGATGTTCAACTCTGACAAAAAGCAGAGAGTGTACTAATGACTAAGACTGATGTTCCATTCCAGGTAACTCAATTAATGTTTTCTACTTCTTCTTAAATAAAGCATCTCATCAATCATATTAATATACTGTATTTCTCACATCTCAGACTTGTGAATTACATGATGATATAATAAATGTACCTAAAAAATGATATTTCATATAGAAATACTTCCACTATTGCTACTCATTTCCAACAAGTCAGATTACTAGCCAAAACAGAGATCAAATACTGTACCATTAAAGACTTTTGTAAATCTGTGTCTGTTTCAATATCAATATTTACAGCACTCCATTTGCATTTTTTAGTTTCTTTTACAGGCCACAATGGAAGTGTCAAGTTTAAGAGTATGGTAAGGTGAGATGATAGCCGGCTGGAAAACCATTAAATGAGCTTTGACAAACCAATCCTCCTAACAGCCATCATCTTGGGAGGAATTCTCAATGTATAAGATCTATTAAAAGCAGAGCTGACAATGGCATCCTTACTGATGCTTTAATCAATACTTTCCAATAGATGAAAACATCTAAGGCCTGCTTATCAAATTCACAGATGAAATAAGATGACAGAATCAAACTTCAAAAGAGCTTCACAGGAGGAAATAACAGATCTAAATAAAAAAGATAAAAGTTCGTTGGGATCCATATAAACTACTATAATTATGTTTTTAAAAAGAGAAGTCTTGGGTAGTCTTTGTAATGTCAAAAATGTCCTTAATGAGTAGTGTACGGGTACCAATGTGCTAAAACACAACAGAAAATATCTGAAGAAGTTTGTTTAGAACGGTGTATTGGGCCGGGCGCGGTGGCTCAAGCCTATAATCCCAGCACTTTGGTAGGCCGAGGCGGGTGGATCACGAGGTCAAGAGATCGAGACCAGCCTGATTAACCTGGAGAAACCCTGCCTCTACTAAAAATACAAAAAAATTAGCTGGGCACGGTGGCGCGTGCCTGTAGTCCCAGCTACTCGGGAGGCTGAGGCAGGAGAATTGCCTGAACCCAGGAGGCGGAGGTTGTGGTGAGCAGAGATCGCACCATTGCACTCCAGCCTGGGTTACAAGAGCGAAACTCTGTCTCAAAAAAAAAAAAAAATGGTGTATCACATTTTAAGATGAACATTGACCAAATAGGTGCAACTAGAAAAACAAAAGGTTTAAAATCATCAATTTAAAAAGTGGTACAGAAACTTTAGGACAGATCATCCGAAAAAAGAAGATGCAAGGTGAGAGAAGGTCTGATGCCAACAAGGCTGTTTTTGGTATCATTTAAGGGATGCCACATGAAGAATAAGAAGAAAAGAGAAAGAAGGAAGAAGCAGAAAGAAGGAGAAAGAAGAGGAAAGAAAGAAGAAGAGGAAGGGGAAGAAAGCAGAGAGGAAGATGAGGACAAGGAGAAGGAGAAATGGCTCCAGAGGCAGACTCCTCTTTGATATGTGAAATGTATATGGAATTGCTCCTTATAAAGGCTAGTCATTGTTATTGTCTAACTGTCATTCATAAAACCTAATTACTACTGTAATCATGGGTATCAATTTAAGGGAGAAAATAGAAAGTTCAATATAAAGAATGACTTTCTGACAATTAGAGCTGACCGTAAGAGTGGGATGTATTGGAAGGGAGTGGTCCTAAGGCTCGTGGTCCTCTGCTTCAAGGGTCCTAGAACATGGCTGCATTGGGTTGTATGCTGAACATGTGAGGTCTTATTTCAAAGTCTTTGAGAGTCTTAAGTACAATAAAATATTCTCTCACGGCTAATGTAATTAGAGGTGGCAGCAGCAGTAACAGTAGCAATAAAAATAACAACAATAAAGATGACAGTGGATACTCAGACAGCACTGTCTACCAGACACTACTCCAGGCACTTGACATACAGTAACTTTTCAACCTTCACAAAAACCCAATGAAGTAGGTAGATTATTAACCTCATTTTAGAGATGAGGAAGCCACAGAGAGGTTAAGAAATTTGCCCAAGTTTATATAGAATGAAAGTAAAGCCAAAAATTTAGTGATTGCAAACAGTTCTTTTTAAAAGTTTTTGAGAATAAGATGAAAACATTTTTAAATTTAAAATAACTATCAATTATATTTCCTTTTACTTATTGAGTTTACATTTTACTCATTTAGTTTCATATTAAAGCTAGAATAAATTTAGCAACGACATATTAATAAACCTAATATCTAATTTTTTTCAAAGCTAAGTTAACAAGAAATGTTTCGAACATGTAAAATTTAAAATGTACTCACCACTACTAGTCCTATGGAAAACTGGCCATAAACATGGGGAATAAAGGTCTTCATCATGCCTTAGCTGAAGCAGAAAGTGTTCATCTGATCTGGTATACGATCAGTTCTTCACAAATTTGATTCTTTTTATTGTATGAAGACAATTTCTTTTTTTTAATCATTTCAAGTTTTATTTTAGATTCAGGGGGACACATGCAGGTTTATTATCTGACTCTATTGAGTGATCCTGAGGTTTGAGGTATGATTGATATCACCCAGCATAGTACCCAGTACTTACTTTTTCCAGCATTCCCATCTTCCCACTTCTAATAGTCCCCAGTGTCTATTGTGACTGCAAACAGGTCTGACATAATTGTGCTGACTTTTCGTAAGTACCACATATTTATTTTCATATTATTGTCTCATCTTCATTAATATTTTAATTTCTGCCAGTAAGTTAGAAACTTTTCCCTTAGGCAATGTAAAATATTAAAAGTATAAATTCACTTTCAATTAAAACCTAGAAGTTAGAAAGATATTTAACATTCTTCAGGCATTTACATATTAATTTCCTTGCAAAAATAATTTCATCTAAGAGAGGGCTGTTACCAAAAGTCCTGTGATTTTCAAGCTTGCTTTAAAGTCCTGTGATTTTGAAGCTTAATAAGGACTACCAACCCAGAAGGTTGATTGATGGCACTTAAGGGACTGCTGAATCATTTAAATGACACATTGTGTGCATTTGGAGCGTTACGAGAGCAGCTTTCTTACAATTCTCAAAGAAATCTGTGAGCTATAATAGGTTAAAATCAGATGATTTAGGTGTTTCTGTCTTCTTTTTTCAGAAAAACCAACATATTTAATTATCCTTGGTCCTATAATCCTAAGTTTATCGCTGTAACCTCTAGATTACATGGTAAGAGTGGAATGTGAGAGTACTGGACGACAGTCTAGATGTGATCTTTTTTGTTTTATTATTCATGAATATCTACCTAAGCTTTAACTTCTAAAAAGCCTTTTCAAAAATAAGAATACAAATAGGTTTTTTTTAAAAACTAATCAGTCTTTTGAAAAGTAAAAGCAAAATGACATTTTCTTTAATTCCAAAATCACTTTTTCCCAGTTTCCTCACCAGTCAATGATTCTTTCTCACCACTGTCTTTAGTTTCCCCTTTAGACTCATCTGTTTCTGTGCTGTCGTAATCAGAGGACTGATGAGCTGGTTCACAGGGGTGAACTGTCGGGTCATCCATAACTTCAGTAGAAAGAAGATAAATAGTTTGGATAAGGAAAAATGAAGCCCATTAATATTAAGATGTGCTCAGGAAAGGAAAACTGAGACATATGCCAAAATAAATTACAGATTCACAAATAAACACTATTTAGCAATGAAATGTCTGAAGAACTAAAGATTAAAAACTAAAGTTGTCAAAATCATATTTCTATCAGAATGAAAAAGTAAAATATAAGAATTTTAGAGAATGAAATACAATTACAAGTTACAACCTATAAAGGGGTTTTTGAACATTAATTATTCATATTAAAATTAACATTTAGACGATAACTAAAATTCTGAGAAGTATTAATATATACATTAATCTAAAAATTAAAATAAGGCAGAACTTTTATAAGCTCTTAAAGCAACATAAACATTTAGGAAATTAATGTTAAGAAAATATTTTCTGGCAGGGTGCAGTGGTTCGCGCCTGTAATCCCAGCACTCTGGGAGGCTGAGGTGGGTGAATCACTTGAGCCCAGGAGTTTAAGATCAGCCAGGGCAACATGGTGAAACCCCATCTCCACCAAAAATACAAAAAAAATTAGCTGGGTATGGTGGTGCATGCCTGTGGTCCCAGCTACTCAGGAGGCCGCGGGAGGAGGATAGCTTGAGCATGGGAGGTTGGAGGTGGCAGTGAGCTGAGATCGCGCCACGGCACTCCAGCCTGGGTGACAGAGTGAGGCCCTGCCTCAAAAAAAATTTTTTTTAATATGTCAAAGTAGTTTACGGGTTTGATTTTCTTTAAGAATTCAAGAGATTCCAATTAAGTAAACTCTAAAATTTTTTTGATGTCATTTAAAATAGTTTTACATTTTAGACAGAAATGTTTCCATGTAACTTATCTCTGGTATTTTATTTTATTCATCATGAATGTGCTGATTCTTGCTACCATAACAATATATAGGACTATGTACAAGTTTTATTCTAATGGCTTTATCTTCTATCTTGCCTTAAAAAATTTGTTTTTAAAAAGTGTGTCCAATCTGACCACTCCAAAAACTTGGTTATGCTTGCAGCAGAAATGCTGCCAACTTCTTCCAAAGCCAAATTTATGAACATGTACCTTTTCCAGCTTCCTCAATGACTTGCCTCACTGCTTTCTTTAAACTGTTTGCCCGCAACATGATTTCCCTTGGTTTGACGGCTTTCTGGGAGGAAGGTTTTGTAACATCATCCACGAGCTGTTCTTTGCTTTCACCAAGGGACTCTTCACTGGAGGATTCCACAGCATCTTCTTCCACAATGAGAGGGCCGAGGCCGGGGAGAACAGGTGCAGCCTCAGAGTCTGTGTGCAAAGCCTGCAGCAGTTGTTCAAGCTTCTCGTTGAGGACTGAACACTGAGAGGAAAATATGGCAGTGAGAAAAACATTCAAAAACAATCAAGATCAGCAGACAAAGTGCAATAAATTTTTATAGAGATGTTTTGAAAGTTTAATCCCAAGATAGAAAAACACTAAAATCCCCACCTTTAATTTTGAAGATATTTTGGTTCTGGAAGCAGCTAATTTAAAAAATCTCCATTTAGTAGAGATACACAATGATAACATAAATTATGGTGTTTGATTTAGAGGGACGATGCCTTTATTCGTGTTTACTATATAAAACAATTTATAATTTTTAAAATTGGCATAATTATTACATAATTTCATTAATATATAATTTCAGAACCATTCAGACTCTATTTCGTGGGGAAAAAAGTCTTTACAATGTTCATACAGCTATTTTTCTTCAAAGAACACAATAGACACTTTGCTACCAAGTGATGCTTTATATAAAAAATCACACAAAATTTGCTATTATACGTTATAGAAAACACTGGATGAATTTTTTTTAAAGTAATTGACTACGGCACCATTTTGAGCATCAGGGGCAGCACATCTGACTGAGTTGTGGGAAACTCCCCTTCAAAGCTCTGGTTTGCATAGGAGTGAACGATGCCTAAGGGACGACTGGCTCAAATACAGCGCAGGAAGGAAAATGCGCAAGGATGAGGAGGGAAAAGAAGAGGGATACAGAAGGAAAAACATGCACTAGGCAAGCCCTTGTATCTTTCTGCTTTTCTCGTATATGAGCAATGAAGAAACGTTTAAGATCGAAGCTGTCGACGCTACCTCCAAAATATCTTTCATCTCCATAAAACCTGCAGTCCCTTTCCTCCTCATAGAGTTGTCTTTGATGATATGCTGAGACAAAGTTACAGCAGAAACCGTTTAGAGACAGAAGTGTGGCCAGGGAGGGTTTCTGTTTGCTGAAACTCTCCACAGAGCAGAAAGACAAGAGAAAAAGGCAGAAAACTTCAAATGTTTATTTATCTCTATTACCTTTTTCTTCTACTCAGTTAAACTGCCATCTACTGCATGGATTTGGGAAGCTAATCCCTTTGCAAGTCCAAGATATTCAAGCCTTTTGTAAAAAGGTCCTGTTGTGAATTTATGAAAGCAAATACAGTAGTTTTTAAGGCATCAATGAACTGTTCTTATTTTAGTTTATGAAGGGGGAAATAAGTCTGTAAAGAAAACGGCCATGCAAGAAGCAGCACTCTGAAAGAGACCAAGAATTTTAAGTCTAGGAAATCCAAAGAACCATGCTGGAAGGGAGCTGAACTGGCCTAAACCTGCTTGGAAATGGGAAGCCTTGCTTTCCCCAGTGAAACCCAGCTACATGGGATCCCCTGTGGTCTGACTGCTATGCATCTCCCTTTCAGTCAATCATGGCCGGGTGTGATGGCTCACACTTGTAATCCTAGCATTTTGGGGAGGCTAACGCAGATGGATCACCTGTGGTCAGGAGTTCGAGACCAGCCTGGCTAACATGGTGAAACCTCATCTTTACTAGAAATGCAAAAATTATTTGGGTGTGGAGGCAGGCACCTGTAATCCAGCTACCTGGGAGTCTGAGGCAGGAGAATCGCTGGAACCTGGATGGTGGAGGTTGCAGTGAGCCGAGATCATGCCACTGGACTCCAGCCTGGGTGACAGAGCAAGACTCAGTCTCAAAAAAAAGTCAGTCACTGGGACAGAGCTTTGAGGTAGGTTTTTTCAGCAATGCAGTTTTCCTACATATTCAAGGGTAAGAATAAAATAGAATATTTTTTAAAATCCTTGGATCTAATCCAAAAGTAATTTTTCTCTGGATTGAAGATGTTTTGGGAGGCAAACCGCTGAATCAATTCAGCTCTGAAACACAGCGGAGCCTTCGCGGTATCTGTGAACAGCTCTCGGGCTGACGGCCCCCCTTACTTTACTGCCCACGGCGTCGGCTACAACCGCGTTTTCTGAGGTTTTGTCGTACGTCTTCTCCACTTTGGCCACGAAGTCCCTTACGGTTTCACACAGCGTCCTTTGAGAAAAAGAAGTTGTATGATTCAGTAAACTTCGTGATTTGATTTGCTTTGATTTGTGAATACATTTAAAAAGAAACACAAAATCCCAGCACTTTGGGAAGCCGAGGCGGGTGGATCACGAGGTCAAGAGATCGAGACCATCCTGGTCAACATGGTGAAACCCCGTCTCTACTAAAAATACAAAAAATTAGCTGGGCATGGTGGCACGTGCCTGTAATCCCGGCTACTCAGGAGGCTGAGGCAGGAGAATTGCCTGAACCCAGGAGGCGGAGGTTGCCGTGAGCCGAGATCGCGCCATTGCACTCCAGCCTGGGTAACAAGAGCGAAACTCTGTCTCAAAAATAAATAAATAAATAAATAAAAATAAAACGAAACACAATTAAGCAAACTGCCAAATATCTGGGTCATGTGCATATACATCTATGCTTCTATCTGCCATGCAGTTTGTCTCACATAAGTTCAAGACATTCTAAATGATAAATGCATACATGAATAAGCCTTGCTGTATATTACTTAAATTATAGTAATTCATGTTATAACAAGCTTTCCTCAAATATTTAAATTAAGTATTTTTAGATCCCATTTAAAAATGATAAAGCAACATCTTGCTTTCTCCACTGGAATTCTAAAGCTTACATATTTTCATACCAGAAATTGCAGTGTCAAACAAAGATAAGATTATCGCTTATCTTGTCACTGTCAAGCTGCTACTTATATGGAGATCTTGATGGTGAATTATAAGATATTATTACTGAAGAGAAAGAGATTGTGTATTATGCTGAAAACAAATCTGCCACTTGAAATGAGTTATGTTCTCTGTAAATCCATTCATTTCTTCCTTGACATAACCAATGCAATAACTACAAAACTAATTTAATTTAGGTCTTATTAGTGTCAGCAATATATGGTTTACTTGTTTGTTTCTTTTAATTACATTTGGCTTCTCTGCAATAGAAATAAGCTAAAAGACGAAATAACTTGAGACACTAACAAAATCTGCCTTTCGAAAAGCTTTGGATCTGAATCTGGTGTTGGATTAAAAACAACAATCAATAGAATGGCATAGGACCAGCTTTTTTAAAGCAAAGGCTTATGCTGACGGAATCAGACTATTTTTTAAATCATAGTATTGCTCTCTATCATTGATAGAAATTAAAGAAAAAAAAGGTTCCAGCAGTTATTTTTTCTATTTCACAATTTTCTCTGGGAGTTGAGTGGCATAATGGTAAATTTCCATATACTTAAGTATTATGAACTTGAGCAGTTCAATAGATACAGGACACATACACAATCTCTCACACAGACACACACACACAGGCACACACCACACCACCACCACCACCACCACCCCTCCCCTAACAGACACACACACTACCAACCTTCAAATTTATCATCTTGGAAATTATATTACTCCTAAGAATTTTTGTCTTGTTATTTTTTAGCAAACATTTCTAGATTTTATTTGAATAAAGGTAATATTTTCTAATCCTGAACCTTCTTCCTTGGGTTTTTAAACTCAAATTTCTACAGAGAATCTAGCTTATCATTTACTAGAGATGCATTCGTGTACTTCAGGTCGTTTTTATCTTTGATGGTGAACAATACTTCATGGGATTTCTTAAAATATAATGCTATCATGAAATCTCTTCTACACATTTTACCGAAAGCTTCTGTAAGACGCGCTGCTTGGAGTTACAGTAGCACTGACACCTCTCCCTGTAACTTAGAAACAGAGGATTTTCTTGCCATGATTATAACGACCTCTTGATATAATTTTCTCTTGGTTTGTGAACTGCATATGTCATATCACTCTCACAGATACTGTTGTTGGTATTTTACTCATGCCTAGAGACAGACCCCTTCTCCATCAGCCTAGGAAGGAAAAGGGCAGCAGGGATGCTCCTCCTCACTGTGTCATGTCACTGAGGTGGACAGTGGCTGACAAAGACATTATGATCCTATGGCACCGTTGGCCAAGGGAGCTGAGGAAGGGGCATGTAAAGGTTAGGAGGGTGCTTGCCACACAAGTGTGCAAAAAATCAGAAGACATGCTCTACCTTATGGCTCATTAAGTTCCACAGCCGGAAGGAATATAGGATATTTATATTCTGGGGGAATGAAGTACCCTTTTATTATACCCAAATAGTGAATGTAGAATTATTACAACAGAAATAAAATATATACTTAAAAATAGTATGATTTTAAAGTCCTATCAGCTGGGAACTTGCAAACTGGAGAAAATACAATTTTAAGATATATTTACTACAGGAAGACAAAAGATATTCTCCAACAATACACAGAGCTTTCTACTTTATACGTAAGACTTCCAGAAAATATGTGCGAAAGTCAAACAAAGAGATTAAAAAATGTTAAATTCCTAGTTATATCTTCAATCCGTGGTAGAACTTTACAAAGACACTCTTTTAGAGATGGGGGTCTTGCTCAGTTGCCTAGGCTGGAGTACAGTGGTGTGACGATAGATAACTGCAGGCCTGAACTCCTGGGCTCAGGTGATCCTCCCAGCTTAGCCTCCTCAGTAGCCAGGACCACAGGTACATGTCACTACGCCGAGCTAATTTAAATTTTTTTTTTTTTTTTTTTGTAGAGATGTAGTCTTTCTGTGCCACCCTGGCTGGTCTCTAACTCCCAACCTCAAGGGATCCTCCTGCCTCGGCGTCTGAAAGCAATGGGATGACAGATGTGAGCCACTGCGCAAGACCTAGACAGAACTTTTGGTATTTCCAACACTGTATTTCACTTTGTCCTCCTCCTTCAAAGTTGAACATAGTCAACGGTGTAAACCAAATCCTCAGTGGAGGCTAACAACAGTCCACGTTTCACTTACCTAACGATTTCCACCGCCATCTCCACTACATGACATACGGTAGACCCGTCCTTCTCATCACTAGTATTAGTACCCTCACTTATCAGCTTTCCACTTAAGTTCTTAAAATGTGGGCAAACGGCAATAAAATATGCAAATACTACGCAAGATAAAGAATCATACCCAGACAGAATCACAGACTGGCAGGCAAGGTCATCACGTGGAAATCTGAAAAAATTCATTTTTCATCTAATAAAAAGTTCCAATTTGAAACCGAAGATAATTGAGACGTATCAATGCATATTAAATAAAAACCTTTAGCTATCTTTGTCTCCAGCTATCTTTGTGCACTGAGGAAATATTTTTTAATAACTACCTCACTTCACCACTTAAATGGGGCGGGTTGGCATAACTTATCCCTAGAGTTCAAATCTAAATTCTATGGTTCTATGACAATGGCTTCAATATTCCTGCTAGTTAGTTATCCCATTTTCTGAAGCTTCTGTACACAGAATAAATTGGATTTATTTTAAAACTTGGGGGGTGAGTAGAATGAGTGAGTAAAAAACCTAATTAACTCCTACTGTTAAAGCAAAACAAGTTTTACAACTACGGACTAAATAAAAGGAGAGACCTATATTGCAGCTAAAGACCACTTATTTAATAACTTTTTCATCTTTATTAATAAATAGTATCTATGATTGCTAATCAGAGCCTTGAGTCTCAGAAGATAACTCCTATTACCATACCAAATTGATAAAATTGTAAGGTCAAAGAAATGTTGTTTTAGGTTAACCTACATATTAGCTATACTAGTGGAATACAACTTTTCCATTAGTATTTCAACATTTTAAAAATAGCTGAAAACAGTTAAAGCTACTGGGAATTATTATTGTATGAAATAAATATAAACACGCACAAGAGGTTAAAATGTTTTGCCTTACTATTGTATATCACTGAACAAATAAATGACATTCACAAAATAAGGGAGTTCTTTAGGTAGTAATTATGTGTGTGTGGTGTGTGTGTGTAGTGTGTGTGTGTGGTAAGTGTGTGTGGTGTGTGTGTGGTGTGTGTGTGTGGTGTGGTGTGTGTGTGGTGTGTGTGTGGTGTGTGGTGTGTGTGTGTGGTGTGTGTGGTATGTGTGTGTGTGGTGTGTGTGTGGTGTGTGTGTGGTGTGTGTGTGTGGTGTGGTGTGTGTGTGTGGTGTGTGTGTGGTGTGTGTGGTATGTGTGTGTGTGGTGTGTGTGTGGTGTGTGTGTGTGGTATGTGTGTGGTGTGTGTGTGTGGTGTGTGTGTGTGGTGTGTGTGGTATGTGTGTGTGTGGTGTGTGTGTGTGGTGAGTGTGGTATGTGTGTGTGGGGTGTGTGTGGGGTGTGTGTGGTGTGTGTGTGGTGTGTGTGTGGTATGTGTGTGTGGTGTGTGTGGTGTGTGTGTGTGGTGTGTGTGTGGTGTGTGTGTGTGGTGTGTGTGTGGTGTGTGTGTGGTGTGTGTGTGTGTGTGTGTGTGTGTGTACACAGTATTTTTTTAATCATTGAGCTGTACCCTTGTGATTTAGGTGCTTTACTGTGTATGTCATGTCTTAGTAAGAATTTTTTTAAAGGGGTAACCATTATAGATTTTTTTTAAGTATTTTTTTTCAAGATGGGGTCTCATTCTGTCATATAGGCTGGAGTACACTGGCACGATCACAGCTCACTGCAGCCCAACCTCGATCCTCTCACCTCAGCCTCCTGAGTAGCTGGGACTAAAGGCACATACCATCACTCCCAGCTAATTTTAAAATTTTTTGTAGAGATGGGGTTCCACTATGTTGTCCAGGCTGGTCTTGAACTCTGGGGCTCAAGTGATCCTTCCACCTTGGCCTCCCAAAGTGTTGAGATTACAGGCATGGACCACTATGCCTGGTCAAGATTTTTAAAGTCTTAAAGAGGTATCACTCAAATGTAGCATGTGAACCTTGTCTGAATTTTGAACAAATAAAGTGTGTGTGGGTTTTTTTTTATGTCTTTTTTTTTTTTTTGAGACAGAGTCTTACTCTGTCACCAGGTGCTAGGCTGAGTGCAGTGGCACAATGTCAGCTCATGCAACCTCCACCTCCCGGGTTCAAGCAATTCTCCCGCCTCAGTCTCCCGAGTAGCTGGGACTACAGGCGCACGCCACTACTTCCAGCTAATTTTTGTATTTTTGGTAGAGACGGGGTTTCACCATGTTGGCCAGGATGGTCTCGATCTCTTGAGCTCGTGATCCATCCACCTCGGCCTCCCAAAGTGCTGGGATTACAGGCTTGAGACACCATGCCCGGCCTGTATGTGGGGTTTTTTTTTTTTTAAGACCTTGTCAAAATTCAGACAAGGTTCACAAAAAAACCTCTGAGAAAACTGGGGGAAATGGGATATGGCTTGAGTAATACTGATGGTACTAGAGAATTATTAATTTTTTAGATTTTTTTAAAGATTATACGGGCACACACACATATACACATACACACACAGTCAGCCCTGCACATTCACGGGTTCCACATCCATGGATTCAACCAACCATGGATTGAAAATATTTGAAAAAGAAAACAGATTGTTGTGTCTACACTGAATAGTGCAGATGTTTTCTTCTTGTCGTCATTCCCTAAACAATACAGTGTGACAACTGCTTACAGAGCAAATACATTCTATTCACTATGGTAAGTAATCCAGAGATGATGTAAAGCGTGTGGAGGATGCATGTAGGTTATATACAAAAACTAAGGCATTTTCTATAAGGGACTTGAGAACCTATGGATTTTGGTATCCAAGGGGGTCCTGGAGCCAATCCCACATGGATAGAGAGAGATGACTATATACCAAAAGTAGAAGAGGATAATTTTCAGGATGTTCTTAGAGATACTGTAGCAGGGGCCGGGCGCGGTGGCTCAAGCCTGTAATCCCAGCACTTTGGGAGGCCGAGGCGGGTGGATCACGAGGTCAAGAGATTGAGACCATCCTGGTCAACATGGTGAAACCCCGTCTCTACTAAAAATACAAAAAATTAGCTGGGCATGGTGGTGCGTGCCTGTAATCCCAGCTACTCGGGAGGCTGAGGCAGGAGAATTGCCTGAACCCAGGAGGCGGAGGTTGCAGTGAGCCGAGATCGCGCCATTGCACTCCAGCCTGGGTAACAAGAGCAAAACTCCATCTCAAAAAAAGAAAAAAAAAAAAGAAATACTGTAGCAAAATAAAGTAGGAAGGCAGATGGCAAAATGTTGATAAAAACTGAAACTGAATGACGGGTATGGTGGGAAGTAATTAAACCAGTTTTGTTTGAAAATGTCCATAAAAATAAAATTTAGAGACGCTGAGCCACTGCCCATTTGCAATGCCATGTGGAAGTCAAAGCTGTACCTTCAGCATGGCCCCTCTGGCCAGCCAGTCACCTCCAGTGAGACCAGCACCCAGGCCAGCACCAGCAGCTCAGCTGCCAGCAGTGATCTCACCCTCTCTGGTTGGGTCTCCTGCTGCTGCGCCCTGGCAGCCAGGTCTGATGGCCCAGAGGGCAACCACTGCAGCTGGCGGGGCTGCGGGCCCCACTGTGGGGCACACACTGAGTCAGCTACCACAGGAATAGGGGGGCTTCAACAGAGGAAGTAATGCTGGGCTCGCAAGGTGCAGCATTACTTATCAGGAGCCTCTGGGAGACTAGCTGCACAGCAGCAGCCTTGCTTGTGTAAGATAGAACAGTTTCTGGAGTGTGCCCAGAACTAGGGTGACGTCAAGCTTGGTGAGGGTGCCAATGAGGTGCTGAAACAGGGCAGACGTGCACGTGGACTGGCCTAATCAAGAAGTTCAACTGAAGACGTGGAGAATCAGCTCTCACGACCAATTTAATTTAGCATAAAAACGTAACGTAGAGTGAAAGTATAAAGTGTGAAACCTCAGTGAAGCCTCTTCTCTGTCATTCATAGCTCTCTTGCTTCAGAACTGCAATGGGAAAGGGGGTTCTTACTTTGCAGAATTTCATTAAGTTGATAAAGAATTTGGGGCTGGGTAAGTATTTGTATGGCCTCCTTAAACCAGCTGTTGTGAGTTTATTGTCTGTGAGATAAATGGAATAAAGAGATTTTCTTCCAAAAATAATAATAAATAAAATTTAATACATATTGTATTTCTGGTATCAAATAATTACATATTCTGCCCTCTTTTTTTCTCTTCAGCCTCTTTATGGCAAATCCCCTAGAATTGTATCTGTGGTTGTAAAAGCCTGGAAGCGCAGATGAGTGAGTGACAAGAGGGGACCCAGATCGGAATGGAATCTGCTTAAGGGCAAGCATGCTGGTTAGGGAGAACGCCAAAGCTAAGGCTAAGAGCAGCGCCTTAGATAGAGTCAGACCAAGGTCAAAGAAAACATCTGAAATGTAATCCGGCAGACCATGAGGTGATGATACCAAAATTTAATATAGCCCTCTGCCATTTATAAACTCTATACTCATTATATTACTCAGCTTAGTTCTCCTAACAGTTCCATGAGGGAGAAATAACTGGCTTCTTTCCACAGCCCCAAGAACTAGGATACAGGACTGACTGAACGGTAGAAAAAGATGTGAATGGAGGCATAGTGGCTGGCCCAGGAGAGGCGGGCCACATGCTCTCTTCCTTTGCTGGGCGGTGCTGTTGGGATTTTCAATGAATCGGATTGCTTGATGGCAAAACGGACAAATCTCCATTTTGTCCCAGGCCTCAGCACGTCCTATTGTTGTTCTCATCCCAGGCCCAACTCATACACCGAAGTGACTGCCTGGCCCTTGCCCTGTGAATCAAACGTATTTTGATAGGACATTTCAGAGGACATTGCTAGCAAAGGTGCAAAGCTGTAACGGAAGCTTTTCTAAGGTATAGCAAGTCATAAGAGAATGACTTTTTGTTTAATATAGTTAAGTAAATATTTTAACTGGCCACTTTTCATAGTTTGGATGTCAGAAAACTCTTTATATTGACTTTCATGTATTTGATCACTGCATTTCATGTACTTTTTACCTATTTCTTAAGAAATTTCCACAGATGCAAACAGAATTATCATCACTACCCCTTTCTCTCCCTATCATTCTTAATCTTAACACCTTTGTAGCAAAACATTTTTGGCAGTAGAAACCTTTTCTCTAATAAAATCTTTCTTTTTTTTTTTTCGAGACAGGGTTTCACTCTGTCGCCCAAACTGGAGTGCAGTGGTACCATCTTAGCTCTAGTGAAACCTCCACCTCCCAGGCTCAAGTGATCCCCCGACCTCAGCCTCCTGAGCAGCTGGGACTACAGGCAGGCACCATCACGTCTGGCTAGTGTGTGAGTGTGTGTGTGTGTGTGTGTGTGTGTGTGTGTGTGTACCTCATCTCTCTCTCTCTCTCTTTCTCTCTCTCTCTCTCTCTCTATATATATATATATATATATATATAAGGTTTCATCAAGTTGCCCAGGCTGGCCTTGAACTCCTGGGCTCAAGTAATCTGCCCACCTTGGACTCCTAAAGTGTTGGAATTACAGGCATGAGCCACTGTACCTGGTTCAAATACAATCTTACACAGAATTCCAATATTAAAACTCTGTTTTGTTGACATTAATAAATTAGATACAATTAAATTTTCTCCTTTACAAGAAAAGTTAAACAATAAAGTTACAGATGACAGTTACAGTTTTATATTCGTTGCAGTTTTTAATTATTTCTGTATTTTATTTTGAAGACATTTTAAAGATTGTAAGGAAATTGTTTTCAATTAAGTAAAAATGGCAGAAGACGCTTTAGTCCAATGTTTGTACAAAACAGAACCTGCAGTCCTGCCCACCAAACGGAACCTAGAGCCCAGCTCTCCTGGGCCAGCCAGTGTGCTTCCTTGGCAGTAAGCCATTCAACAATGTTCCTATAGTTCAGTCCCGTTTCCTATTTCTGGGGGATATGTTGTCAAAAGCAATTGTTACTACCTTTGTGTTTCTTCACAAATTTGTTTATAAAGACTCATCTTGTCTTTCCTCAACTCCACTGCAAATTAAGTACACAGTATGCCAAAATTTGCATATTTTTTTCTTTCCCACTTTCCCACTCATTTTCTTTCCTTCTCCTTTTCTCCTCTCTTCCAGATAATAGTAACCCATGCTTGCTAAGTCAGAATCTGAAAGCATCTTTTGCTAATCAGTTGAAAATTTCAGCTGGTATCACCCCTTCCTCTAGTCAACTTTCCCGTTTCTTGACATCAGCATAGGATGCTTCAAAACTAAATTCTAAATTCCAGCCAGGCAACATCTGGGATAATAACATCAAGCAGCTTTGGCTCCACGTACAGAATCAACTTCACTAAAATCTGATAACTTTGAATTGAAATGTAATTATTCAACTGAAGCATGCTGAGAAACGTCATTTTGAAAAATCTCACCATTTTCCTTTTACTGATGTGATGTAAACATTTCCTAAATAGTAGTGTTCATGGAAATAATGAATTATAATGAAATGTGTAAGTAATTATAAACATTTCCTTAAATAGACATTTAGGTTAATTAAACTCTAAATGCTTCTTACACCTTTTTGATAAAAATGATTCAAATTACACATAAAAAAATACCCTCTAAATATGCACCACTGCAAAGAAGAAGCTAACAAGATTTTTAAAAACAGTACGTCTAATTCTATAAGCAACTTCCAGGGTATTTTTTGAGAAGAAAACTCACAAATAAATGACCTGAATGGCAGGAACCATATAATTATTTAAAGACTTAACACCCGCCACTTACTTGGCAGATGATATGACCACTGCATGTTCATCAGAGTTGAGGATTTTTGTAAGATGCGTTGCCACTGAGTCTTCATAAATCGTCATCTGAAAAAGAACAAAGAAAACTCCACACTGTATTACGGTTGCTGGCGTTTATACAACTTGCTTATTGCTGTTCCAGCAATGGGACCCTTCATGACATGTGTCAGGCAGGGCAATGGCTAGAATGAAATAGATGAGTCATTATGCAAAATAGATAAATACTTCCTTTTGGCAAAAGGCTTTCAGTTTCTGGAATTCTTTAGTTTATGTTCTTATAGAAATCCATAAAATCCCTTTACAAAAGTTTTTATATAAAAATATCTCAATATAAAAATAATTCCTACAAAGCAGTATAATAGAGCAAAAAAAAATCTAATAAAAATTGGGCAAAAGACTAGACATTTAAATATAAAAATATCCAAATGGCCCATAAACAGAAGAAAACATATCCAATCTCAGCCATCAGGCAAACACAAACTAAAACCACAATGCAGTGCACTCTACCACAGTGCAGTGCCACCCTACCACAGTGCAGTGCACCCTACCACAGTGCAGTGCCACCCTACCACAGTGCAGTGCACCCTACCACAGTGCAGTGCCACCCTACCACAATGCAGTGCACCCTACCACAGTGCAGTGCCACCCTACCACAGTGCAGTGCACCCTACCACAGTGCAGTGCCACCCTACCACAATGGCTAAAATGAAAATGAGTAGAAAATGGCAAGCACTAGCAAAGCTATGGAGCTACAGAATTCTCATACCCTGCTGATGGGAATGCTGACTGATACACTCTCAACAACAATTTGGTAGTGTCTCACTTTTTTTTTTTTTGAGACGGAGTTTCGCTCTTGTTACCCAGGCTGGAGTGTAAAGGCGCGATCTCGGCTCACGGCAACCTCCGCCTCCTGGGTTCAGGCAATTCTCCTGCCTCAGCCTCCCGAGTAGCTGGGATTACAGGCACACGTCACCATGCCCAGCTAATTTTTGTATTTTTAGTAGAGACGGGGTTTCATCTTGTTGACCAGGAGGGTCTTGATCTCTTGACCTCGTGATCCACCCGCCTCGGCCTCCCAAAGTGCTGGGATTACAGGCATGAGCCACCGCGCCCAGCAGGTAGTGTCTCTTGAAGCTAAATATATGCAGTGCATCACAGGACTCAGAAATGCAACTTCTACATCTACACCCAAAAGAAATGCGAAAATGTGTTCATCAAAAGACATGCACTAGAATGTTCACAGCAGCATTCAGTTAATAGTAGAATGGATGACAAAATGCAATAGAAGACTATAGGAGAATGAGAATGAATGATTTACAGCCAAGCCACAGTATAGACGAATCTGATAAATATGATGCTGAGTGAAGGAATCCAGAAACAAATGGGAGTATACAAAATGATTCTATTTTATAAAGCACGAGACAGATACCAATCTATCTACCTATCAGAAGTCAGCATAGTGATATTGGGGTAGGAGGTGAGAGCTTGACTGAAATGGGGCATGACGGGGCTTATGGGGTACTTGAATGCTGTCGAGTGGTTTAGGTATTGATTATACAGATTTGTTTAGTTTGTGAAAATTTACATAAAGCTGTACATTTATGACCTGTGCACTTTTCTGTACATATAATTCAATAAAAAAATATTTTTTAAGTGCTGAATGCACTTTCATATAATCATGTAAATAAATGTTTCTTTTAAATAATTAAATAGTGAAAATGCCAAAAGCATCCATAATCCCTTTTCTATTTGACTCAAACTTTAACATCCTGTTGAAAGAACACATACATTTTCCTAATATGTAAAGATGTGCACAATATTGTAACAGCCTCATATTCAGAGCCTTACATCAAATGTGTCTCAAATAATATTCTATCACATGGGGGCACGAAGTGGCTCACACCTGTAATCCCAGCACTTTGGGAGGCCAAGGCGGGCGGATTACAAAGTCAGGAGATTGAGATCATCCTGAGCAACATGGTGAAACCCCACCTCTACTAAATAAATATAAAAATTAGCCAGCATGGTGGTGCACACCTGTAGTCCATGGGGAGGCTGAGGCAGTAGAATCGCTTGAACCCAGGAGGCAGAGGTTGCAGTCAGCTGAGATCACGACGCTGCACTCCAGTGTGGCAACAGAGCAAGACTTTGTCTCCAAAAGAAAAATTCCATTTCACCCAGCTCAAAATTTTCTAGTATAAATGATCTGCTCTAGGCAACCTGGCCCTCACGCTCTTCTGCCTCACCCAGATATCTTTGCATTACTTTTACCAATCAGCCTCAGTTTATTCAGACTTAATTGAAGATTCAATTAACAGTCTTCCCCACAAAGCCCTCCTGTCTAGCCTCTCCCAAAAAGAATCCCATTCCTAATGTACCTTCATTCCACCAGTGGGTGCGTTACTCTTTCAAAAGTATGTTACTCTTTAAAATTTCTACCTTCCCTCCTTCAAAGGCAGACCACCTGTGGGAAAGCAATTTTACATCAAAGAAAGGAAGGGAGGCCGGGAGCTCCAAAGTTACACATGATATTGTATTGACCCACCAATCCCCTTTACTGATCTCTTAAACACTACAAATTACATCTTTACAGCTAGGATCAGAGAAATGAAAATATATCATCTAAAAAAAAACTTTAAAATTTGAAAAAAGAAAATGCTTGCCAGAGAATATTTTCTTCCCTGCAGAGGAGAAAATATTTTACATGACCATTTATGCTATTAATTAATGCATCCATTAATGCCAGTTGATTAATGTATTAATTAGTGACATTTAATTAATGCCATTTGAAACTTACATTTTAAAACTCCAAGTTTTTGTCCATTAAAAATATTCAAAGACAAAAACATACAACCTCTTTCAGAGGACAATAAAATAGCCTGTATGTCCAAAGATAAAATAATACACGTAACTTATTAACATACTATGCAGTCACTTAGCTGGGTCGGAAACGTAAGTAATAATAAGAGTTAACATTTTGTATTGTGTACCAGGCACTGTCATTAAGCACTCTGTATACATTTATGCCTTTGTCTTGTTTTATAGCCAAGGAATATAGGTTAGTTGAGTAATTTGCCTGAGACCCACAGCGAGTGAAGTGTAGAAAAGCTAAGAAGAAAGGTTTAGTCTACTTTTATTGCAGTTTTCAAGGTAAAAAAGCCACACACAGTAAAACGCATTCCCGGCGTCAGCCTAGTTTGGGGCCTCGTCAGGGCCGTTTAGAACACCCATTTAATCTGTTAGCTTAAAGTGTGCTATCCCTTTGTTACAAAAATAAGTTTATTTTAAAAAGTAAAGTTTCATTTAAAACCTTTTGTACAAAGAGAGATTTCCTTCATTTCTTTAGGATTGTACCTCATATTTATTGATTTTATATATAAGTGATAAAAGGAAATCATCTACTGTTATTTTATATGCCAGAAAACAGACATTTGTGAAGTAAACTGAACAAAAAAAAAATCCCCCTTTTATCTTTTTTGGAAAGAAAATTAGTAATGTTTACAAAAATACTGTTGGGAAAAAGACCGGTTTCTATAAAAATGTGATTTATAGAGTCACATAACTAAAAACGCTGCTGAAAACCAAGCAGTAAATACACTCATCTTTAATAATGATTATCTCTGCTGGTAGGACTACAAGTGGTTTTATTTTCTTTTTCATATAATTTTGTATTTACAAATTTTTTTTTTTTTTGAGACAGAGTTTCGCTCTTGTTACCCAGGCTGGAGTGCAATGGTGCGATCTCGGCTCACCGCAACCTCCGCCTCCTGGGTTCAGGCAATTCTCCTGCCTCAGCCTCCTGAGTAGCTGGGATTACAGGCACGCGCCACCGTGCTCAGCTAATTTTTGTATTTTTAGTAGAGACGGGGTTTCACCATGTTGACCAGGATGGTCTCGATCTGTTGACCTCGTGATCCACCCGCCTCGGCCTCTTAAAGTGCTGGGATTACAAGCTTGAGCCACCGTGCCCAGCCTCCAAATTTTTTTAAAGGCAGTTTTGGCTATTAGCAGTTTTTATATAAGAAAAAGTTTAAAAAATACAATTAGCTTCTCTAAGAAACAGCCCCATATTTGTAGTTATCATTCCTTGCCTTAGTTTTGACAAGATCATAATTTTCTTAATGACAAAACAAAGATTTCAACTGTAAAATAAACAGATAAATTTTCCTAGAGGGAAAAATAATCTTGCATAGATCAAATGGTCTTAACAAGAAAGAGAATAAGCCTTTGAAAGTCAGGTTCTGTTTTAAATCTACACAGCTTTGAGGTTTAATCAGAACGCTGAGTCTTTAAAAACATTAGTCATTTAAGGTCTGTGGTAGGGATGGAATTAAGTGCTCCTTTCTCCTGTATCAACAGGCTTAATCCAGAGACCTGTCTTGCTGTCCCTTCAAAAGAGTAGGGGCCGGGCACAGAGTCTCACACCTGTAATGCCAGCACTTTGGGAGGCTAAGGCAGGAGATCTCTTGAGACCAGGAGGTCAAGGCTACGTACAGTGAGCTGTGTTTGCATCACTGCATTGCAGCCAGCCTGGACCATAAAGCAAGACCCTGTCTCAGAAAGAAAAGAATATGCAAAGCAAGCAGTAAGAGAGAAACTGTATAATATTCTGGCCAGGAATACGGGTGTGTTTGGAGACTGTTAAAAGCTAACATCTTACAATCAAACAGGATCTAATGGCCAAGGAGAAGATGAATACACACTAACAGGAAACACCAGCTGACCTTCGTGCAGCTCTGCAGATAAAAAGGAAACAGCACTGTTTACAATAGCAAAGACCTGGAAGCAACCCAAATGCCCATTGATGATAGACTGGATTGGAAAAATGTGGCACATATACACCATGGAATATTATGCAGCAATCAGAAATGATGAGTTTGTGTCGTTTGTAGGGACATGGATGAATCTGGTGAACGTCATCCTCAGCAAACTGACACAAGAACAGAAAATGAAACACCGCATATTCTCACTCATAGGCGGGTGATAAAAAATGAGAACACATGGACACAGAAAGGGGAGTACTAAACACTGGGGTCTATTGGGGGGAAAGGGGGAGGGCCAGTGGGAGGGGGAGGTGGGGAGGGATAGCCTGGGGAGAAATGCCAAATGTGGGTGAAGGGGAGAAGCAAAGCAAAGCACACTGCCATGTGTGTACCTACGCAACTGTCTTGCATGCTCTGCTCATGTACCCCAAAACCTAAAATCCAATAAAAAATTAAAAAAAAAAAAAAAAAGGAAACAGCAGGTAGAACAGGCAAGGAGACTCTCTGGGCAGGAAAACAGATAGCGCTTCACACATTTGTTGTGTCATTCAACTCCAGCACTTTGTATCACTTTACACGTGAAGAGGCCCAGGAAGGGGAGTGACTGGGCACTCCCAGTGTGGGTGGCCATGAAAGGACTCTAACCTAGATTCCAGATTCTTCTCTCAGGGAGAGAGGACTAGAAGTAGTCAATGAGACCATACCCCAAAAATGAAACTAAGTATACATGCTCCCATATCTTAGGAGTATGCGTTCTCCTTTTATTTTTCAAGATATTCAGCCCCATTTCAAATGATTAGGTAAAGGGTTAAGTCTTACATAAAATTCTTCAGATGCTTCTGGAGGTCCTGGAAGTAGGGAAGCTTTTGGTGGCAATTTGAGTTCATATGTCATTATACTCCACCTGAAGGGAGAAAAACTCTTTGGTCTAAGATTTCTTTAAAATTGGATACACTAACTGTTACCATCTCATACACACACACACACACACACACACACACACACACACACACACAGATTCATGAACTATGCTTTATTTTATCTTAAAACAACCAAAAATGGGGACAGAGATCACATTTAAGTAATCTCATACATGTTGAATTCATAACTTACGATTTCCACATCTTATCATTTCTCCAATTAGTGGCTTCCAAATGTTTTAAGACCACAGCCCACAATAAGAAAACCATATGTGTTACAACACCCCCACTTCTTCCCTAGGTGCAATGCATTCTGACTTTTCCATTCTTTTCTGTTCTATTTTTAAAATAATGCTCAGTGCAGTTTACTAATCAGGTTATAAATTACTAATGAGTCGTAAGCCAAAGTTTTAAAACAATGTCCTAGATTAAATAAATACATACTACCTATAAACAGTTCCTCAACCACGCTTACCAAATCAGCTTATACAAACATAAAATGAGAGTTAGCTAAACACCCCTTCTTAAATTAAGAAAGAATGAATGTGAGCATGGGAGTAGGGAAAAATATTAATAATATTTAACTGAAGCAAATTTATTTCAATTAGCTATAAGTATTAATCTCAAAGCAAACATCACATCATTTGGTGTTAGAGAAGAACAGTCAACTCAGGATAAGTCCAATTTTCTATCTAAAATAATAATTTCAAAATTTGGGAAGAACAATTGGGCCAGGATATTATTGTAGACTAAAAAAATATGAAATAAAGGCCAGGCATGGTGGCTTATGCCTGTAATCCCAGCACTTTGGGAGGCTGAAGTGAATGAATTGCTTGAGCTCAGGAGTTCCAGCCTGGGCAACATGGTAAAAACTCATCTCTACAAAAATAAAAATAAAAAATAGCCTGGCACGGTGCTGCATGCCTGCAGTCCCAGCTACTTGGGAGGTTGCGGAAGGAGGATCACATGAGACTGGGAGGTAGAGGTTGCAGTGAGCTGAGATCATGCCACTGCACTCCAGCCTAGGCAACACAGCCAGACTCTGTCTCAAAAAAAAAAAAAAAAAAAAGGAAGAAGAAAGGTTGGATGTGGTGGCTCACACCTGTAATCCCAGCACTTTGGGAGGACAATGTGGGTGAATCCCCTGAGGTCAACAAGGTGAAACCTGGTCTCTATAAAAATACAAAAAATTAGTCAGGCATGGTGGCAGGTGCCTGTAATCCCAGCTACTCAGGAGGCTGAGGCAGGAGAATCACTTAAACTCGGGAGGCAGAGGTTGCAGTGAGCTGAGACGGTGCCACCGCACTCCAGCCTGGGCAACAAGAGTGAAACTCCATCTCGAAAAAAAAAAAAGATGTGAAATAAAGATTTTTACACAGAAACAAAGCATAATAAAAGCAGTACTATAACACATGAATTTTAAGAAAAGTTTAAGACAGTTGAAGCTAGTGTTAGAACCCAGAGGAAAATCCCAAGATCCACATTTAAACAGAGCCTAGTGTATCATTGAAACTAATGAGAATAAATGTTTGCATAAAAATTCAAATTCCCAGAAAGCCCCCATACATTATGTGTTATGATATGTAAACCAAATAGTTACTTATAGCTCCTATTCAACTCTCTACATGAAAATACTTAAAAGAAATTTGTATTTGAACACCAAAAGCTATTCATTTTTCCATGTGGCAAATACATTATACAGCTGTGAGCATCTCAAAGTCACAGGGTCTGGAAACACAAGGGTGCATAAGGCTTCCCCGGCGAAGCTTACATTCTAGTGCAGAAAACAGGTATGAAGCAAGCAAACAAAACAAACTCTGCAAATATCCAAAAGGGGAAATCACCAGTAGAAACATAAAAATCAAGCTCCTTATAGCTAGAAATACTTCTCTGGTCAAAGACAGTTAAATAAACAGTAAGAACTCCACCCAAATGTCTGCATTCCTTGCTCCTTCCATGCTATACCTCCCCACTTAATAGGAAATGGTTGAAGCTAAAGAAAGAGGAGAAAGTGGCAGCTGGAGATGAAAAACCGAGGAAGAGATGCACGTGAGTACCAGCTAAGCAGAGGCAAAGGCTGGAAGGAACCGTCTGGCGTGCATATATAAAGGAGAGAGAGTGCAGAGTTGAGAAAGGACCCTGGAAACTAGACAGAGCAGGGACTGTGGTTTACCATGCCGCTTCTACTACTTACTAGCTATTTAACTTAGATCATGTAAAAACCGCCTAAACCTTTTCAGCAGTAAAATGGAGATGGCAACATTAGCTCTCTAGGAGAAGGACGATAATTAAATGAGATGGTGCACGAAGTAAAACAGCTGGAAAGTGTAGGCAGACAAAAACTACGTTGTTTTTATTTCCATCATATCCGGAAGACTAAATTTTCATCTTTATAAAATAATGCTTTTCTGACCCACCCCATAGTGTTGTTTTGAGGATCAAATAACACATGTGAAAAACTAATCTAATTTAGAATATTAAACAATGATTTTTTTCACTTGTTCTTTATAAACAGGAAATTAATAAAGGAAACAGAGGAATAAGACATTCCTAAGTTTCCAATAAAGGTCTTAAGTTTCTGAATCCCCTTTGATTTGTGTGTGTGTGTGTGTGTGTGTGTGTGTGTGTGTCTTCTGTTTTGTTTCGGCATACCGGCAGATATCAAGGAATTTCACCATGGGGGTCCTGTTTCTTGGCTAACCACCTGGAGAAGTGATGTTTTATTTTTATTTTTTTGAGACACATTCTTACTCTGTCACCCAGATTGTAGTGCAGTGGTGTGATCACGGCTCACTGCCATCTCCGCCTCCTGGCCCCAAGTGATCCTCCCATGTTGGCATTCCAACGTGTTGGGATTACAGAGGTGAGCCACCTCGCCCAGCTGAGAAGTGAATTTTTATAGCACACAAGGGGAAAGCACATATCCTAGGTAGATGCAAATCCTAACAGCAGGAGAAGTGCTCTTTACATTTGCAACAAAGAGGGTATTTAGAATAACCCCTTTTGTTCGGTAACCACAGAATTGGACAGTTGTCTGGGAAATCCCCTCCAGGCTCATTTACAAATAATGGTGATTTTACTTATTTATTTCCAATCTTTTTCCCCAGAATTAGGTATAACTGATGAATAAAAAACCATGTATATTTAAGGTGTACAACTTGATGTCTGGATATACATGCTCCACAATCGAGCTGACTGACATATTCATAGGGACCCTTTCTCTGTTTCATTCCTTTTCTTCCTTTAACCTCCAGATTCTTTTAAAGGCTGGAGACTGAATCCAGTAGCACATTAGATTTTAAACTTCTATGCACCTAAACTACTGGAGTATCTCTCTCATGTAATTTTGGATAAACACAGACAAACGTTCTGCTTCCCAGCTCTCTTTTTAAATATTCTGTCAGCCAAAGAATGAACCATTACACTATTACCTTATGATAGGCAAGGTTACAATTAATGAGGTTATAGCTCATCTTAGAGAAATTACATTTCAGATGGGTGGCTCCCTGATGAAACTTTGTTATTTTTGGAAGAGTTCCACAGATGGCTAATTCTATCGAAGTTGTTTTGATTCATGCTACCTCAAGTTGATCATATTTTGACATCTGTCTTCTCCTGACACCGGGGGTTGGGGAGTGACTGGTTACTGAGTCCTATTGTTCCTTATGCCCAAATTCTAAACACCTCCTCTGTAACACTCAAGGTATACACACTGCAGTTTCTTTTTTATACATAGACATTCAGAGAAAGCAATTAAGAGATGTGATCAAGAATAGCATAAACACAGTAACAGTCCCTTCATTTGAAGCTGTCTTCCTAATACTTCCCTATCCCTGGGAAAGGAGTATTTGTATCTTAACATATTTAGTTCTTATTGGGTCAATTCATTCTTAATATGTATATTTAAGAGGAGATACTCTAACAAATCTAACGTTTATATGTCTTCTTTAGCTTTCTGGAAGCCACACGATGACAGGGGGCTACCTATTATACTCATCAAAAGGCACCCTACACAATGAACTATTTTAGATTTTTGACCTGAACTGTAATTAAAATAGCAGTAACACAGCCTTCTGTATTTAAAATAAGGAGCTATTCGAACTAGTTTTTCATAATTCATTCATTCACTATAAAACATCTTTACTGAGTGTCTTCTCTGTGACAGGCCCCGTTCTCCCACTCAGGCAGGAACAAGTGCACAAGGTCAGGAAGGTTCTCCCTTCTCGGAGCTTCTAGTCAGTAAAATTTATTAATAAGTCTTTATTAATACATCATCGAAAACTGAGTTCAGTGTGCCATTTTCCAACTGGTTGTAGAAAAGAATTCACTTTTACCTGTCCAACATTTTGGTACTGGCTCGTTCCAATTTCTCTAGGATCTGAGGAAGTTGGGTGTCATCGTCATATGAACCTCCCCAGCCAAGAACTCGTGCGAGGTCATTTCCTGTACCCAAAGGCAACACTCCCAGCTGACACTGAAAGACAGGGCGACAGGGCGACTTTCAGACGAGTTGGGAAACAGGGACTACTGCATTTCTGCACCTCTCTGGTGAGTATGTTAGTATGCATTCATGTTAACTAGCAAGTAAAATAATCAGCACTTGCCTGTTTATTCAAGTTGAGCTTATCAATTTCTGACAAAACCCAACCTACACTTCCATCGCCTCCGCAAACAAGAATCCGGAAATTGTCAAACTTCTGAAACAATCTTAAACTGAAAGCAAAAAGGATTTTATGTTAGTATAAAGACGTGAAAATCACCTTCTGCAATTCTTTGTTATTCTGTATTGGTATTCATGCTCAGATTAAATATAAGAACTCCTACTTACATGTTAATTATACCATAAACATTCATTGAAGTGTAATTTTAACTCAAGGAAACTTCTGAATCATAAGGAGGAAAGGGAATGATAAGTAGAAATGAATATAAATTTAGGAGGAATGGGAGTGAGAAATGAGAAAAGAAAAAAGAAGCAGAGACCAGGAAAGGTAAAGTAATACAAGATGGTGGAAGTGGTGGTTTTTCTCTTTCCATTACAGGAACACATTCTTAAGAATTACAAATCATGGGCAAGGAATCTAGGGTGCGGAAGCTCAGGCAGTTCCTAAAGACACAAATCAATGCACTGCTCTCAGGATTTCCAACTAGCTTTTTCTCCTCCTCTTCTCCTATTCTCAGGCCCATCCTTCTATTTTCCCACATCTCAACTTATGACACGTCCTATCTCCTAAATGTACCCTTGTACACTTACTTCAAGTATTGTGGAAAATCTGAAAAATATTAGAGGGACAATCTCAGGAAGTCTCACCAAGGGAGATCCTTGGAGCCTTCGAGGATGAATGGGAAAAATAAATCAAGACTATAAGATAATGGAACTATAAAGGATTATAAAATGGATGTGTCAGAAAGGAGGACAAAACTACCCTAGTATGGCGGAGACAAAGAAGGCGAGAAGAGAGGCTAGATGAGGAAAGTCTAGGACCTCAGCAGAGGAAAGGAAGGGCGGTACATGCAGATAAGGAAGAAGCAGGGTATAAATGAAGAAGACCAACATCCATGGGACCAAAAGGGCCTGAGATTTAGCAAGATAAAGGCAACGGAAGCAGGAAGAAAGACTGGGGCAAAAGTAAACAGAGGCACCAAGAGAGAAGGAAGGAGAGAAATAGAGAAGACAGAGAAAAGTGTCACGTTACAAAACACAAAATGCCTTTTCAGGTACTGGTATTGAAAATCCCCATTTCTACTTCTGCATTCATGCTTAAGGTAACAGTGAAACCCTAGGGAAAAGCTGGGTTGCCCTAAGTAAATCATATAGAGGTTTGAAGGCCCCTGGTTCAGAAGACATAATATCACCTCTTAAGAAAAATCATATGCATACCCTAAAAAGGTATTGCAAGTACCACAAGGTATATTTTCCCTCAGTGAAAATACTTAGTTTGTTTTATCTTACAGATTTTAAGCTACATGACATCCAGAAAGCTGAAAAGAATCATCAACAAAAGTGTTTGTCCTCTATATGAACTGAGTCTGAAATCCTTGAAGAACAGCCCTTGACGGCCCAAGGGAGTCCCTGTACTTGGGTTTGATAATTGATTATTTACATTACATAAATCAATATCAGCTTTCCATGCGAACTGTTTTCTAATATTACTTTCTATTTCTATATGTACATACCTGGAGCTAAAGAAATTGTTAGTATTGTTTCATATACAATATATTCAAAAACATTTTCTAAACAAATTTGCAATTGAGAAATTTCAATAGAGTTTTGGAATTTATACAAGACAATTGTATAACCATCCAAAAGGTTGTGTTAAAACTTATAATTAGAGTTAAAAACAAGGAAAGGATCTAGAGGAATGTCTAATTTTCATGAGCTAAAAAACCAGACACATTTAACACCTTGTCCTACATTGTATTCAAATAAGATTTATCAATAATCAGTTACCCTAAATGAGGACCTCCATTCATTAAATCAAACACCTGAGCCGGATTTAGCAACTGCTTAAAGCGGCGAAGGAACTTGACTCCCTGATTATCTCCACTCTTAGAATTGACAAAAACCAACAGAGGACTAACACAGAAGGAAAACGTTGCTCTACAGAAACCTGTAAAAAAAAAAACACAGTACAAGATCAATACATACAGCTTCCTCTTCTAAATTATTAGCAAACGTTCAGAGAAAAGAAATTTATAAAAACTGAGTATTAAGTTAAAATTTAGCCCTCCAAATAGAGATAGGTTAACTATTTACATACAAACCAATATTTTAAATATATGCTTTATAATGAAAACCATACCCAAGATGATAAAAGTATTAATCACAGATAATTTAAGATATACCACCTACCTTAATTATGCTTAATAAGAAAAACTAATTTATTATAGTCTATAAATTCACATTTGTCAAGGAATTCATATATTCATATTCAGTATTTCAAAATATTTTAACTGCTCCTTTCTGAAGCCTGAGAGAATATTTTAAGATTTATAGTAAATAAAATCAGGGTTTAGGTTGGGAGAGAGGGTTGTTAATAGCATAGGTTTAAAAAATGCCACCTCCTTTGAGGTTTATAAACTTCTATCTGGAGGTTTATAAACTTAATCTAAGACATCTATTGGCAAAAATTATATAAAAATTTTGAAAAGCATAAAACATGATATCAGTGCAAGCCGTGAATAATAGTACAGTCCTCTCTATTATTCTTGCGGAATTGACTCCAGCACCCCCATGAATACCGAAACCACAGTTGCTCCAGTCTGTTATATAAAATGGCATAGTATTACACCTGGTAAAAGTCTTTGTAATACGATCTGCTTAGAAGGAAGTAATTAGTATGCAACCCCAAAACAAGTATAAAGGGGTTCCTTGGCACTTCACAGTTCCGTTGTAAGGTTTTGGGGAAAGTGCATGTATAGTCGTATAAATTTCTACAATGAAATTACAGAAAAACATGCTAATAGGCAGTTTCAACTACAGAGGAAAGAAACATAAAAATTAACATTTTCAGACTGCATTGCAGTATAGAATAATCATTTCATTTACTGAAGCATACCATCTAAAACTCATATACAGTAATTTCGTGAATTTGTTAATGGCTATTCTACAACTATCACTTAAATGTGTTCCTTTAAAAATTGTGTTTTCAGCAATTATAAATGGAATTATTTTAGAAAAAACTACCATAATAATCAATTACAGTTACAGTTATTCTAGGAAAAGAAACACACAGATCAATATTAAATATACATACTTTACACTACTGCTACATACCATCGGAATCGGTGCTGTTTAGCGCAATCGGAGGTATGATAGATACTTTACATTGGCCAAGCGGACATATTGGATGGTATAAATCTTTGCACGCAGTGTGTACCTAATAACAAACAAATATACCTTCAAGAATCTTAAAGATAAATTAATGTTTTGCCATTATGAATCACATCTAAGGAACTGATGATCTAGAATCAACTGTACCACAAAATGTTCAGTAATTCATAAACTACTTTAAATGGTATAATACTTATAATGAAGGAAATGACTAAACATTTTAGAAATGGAAACTTGGTTTTAGTCCACACAAACACATTTTTGGAATTATCTCAGAGAAGAATATACAGTTGATGAACAACTGGTGAAGGCAAGGAGAGAGGAAGAGAAGAGACTGAGTGCAGAGGAAGGGAAACAGAGAAGAAAAGAGAAGGAGGAGGAAAACTAACCAGTATGTCAGTATCACCGCCCATAAAATAAATTGATGACAGAACATTTATTTTGTTTTTATACAAATTCTTAGAAAAATTTAACAAAGATAAAATCTGTAATGTGCCTGCTTCTCTGCTGCAGCAATCCTATAGCTTTCCATTCACATTTCTTTTATGACGTTTCCCTATTATTCAAAGTACAAGTACAGCCATGCTCTTGTTCTCAGCTGGACCGCTGCTCTGTAAGATGAAGGAAAGGGACGCATATCACAGGCACCCCGTAAATGTGCTTTCAGTAGAAACAAATTTCATGGTCATACAAGGTACTACTGAGAACAAGAACAAGGATAACTTATTAGGTAGGACCCAGGCAATGTAGGATACTGTGTGTACTTGTCTGGAGAGCCTTCTATATGTTTTTTGTTTTTTTTTTTTTTTTTTTTTTTTTTTTTTTGAGGAGTTTCGCTCTTACTACCCAGGCTGGAGTGCAATGGCGAGATCTCGGCCCACCGCAACCTCCGCCTCCTGGGTTCAGGCAATTCTCCCGCCTCAGCCTCCTGAGTAGCTGGGATTACAGGCACGCGCCACCATGCCCAGCTAATTTTTTGTATTTTTAGTAGAGACGGAGTTTCACCATGTTGACCAGGATGGTCTCGATCTCTTGACCTCGTGATCCACCCGCCTCGGCCTCCCAAAGTGCTGGGATTACAGGCGTGAGCGACTGCGCCTGGCCCCTTCTAAATCTTTTAACCAGTAAAAGCAGATACTTTTCATCAAGTACTTATTTAATATGACTTTATTTTATTAGTCCTTTTAGAAAACTGGCATAATTAAACCTGCATTTATCAAAACTTTTGGAAGAATAACTAAGATTTAATAGTGATTCTAATTCCGGTGATGACCTGTTTTTTGACAGTTTCCTTACGCTTTGCAATAATTAACAATACGAATGCATTTTAGAAAAACTAACGCACACAGACAGCTTTAAAAGTAATTTTAAAATGTTTGAGAACCACGGAACAAAAGAGAAAGAAATTTATAATAATGCTCAATAAGAAAAGCAGATGATCAAATTATGTCTTCACAATTTTTACAGAAAATGTAACACTATGTCCACAGACCTGGACGACAGCTGGAAAAATTACAAGTTGATTCATTAGGCTTGCATGGCTACAGGTTTTTTAATTTTGTTTGTTTTTTACTACATAGACTATGTTTTAGGCACCAGATATCCTGCTGTTAGAAACTCATGTTTTTGTTTGTTTGTTTTGAGACGGAGTTTTGCTCCTATGCCCAAGCTGAAGTGCAATGGCGCAATCTCCGCTCATGGCAACCTCTGCCTCCCGGGTTCAAGTGATTCTCCTGCCTCAGCCTCCCGAGTAGCTGGGATTACACAGGTGCATGCCACCATGCCTGGCTAATGTTCTGTATTTTTAGTAGAAATGGGTTTTCACCATGTTAGTGAGGCTGGTCTTGAACTCCAGACCTCAGGTGATCCACCTGCCTCGGCCTCCCAAAGTGCTGAGATTACAAGCGTTCATGTTTTTTGTTTTGTTTTAATTGTTTGAGATGACGTTTTGCTCTTGTCGCCCAGGCTGGAGTGGAATGGCGCAATCTCAGCTCACTGCAACCTCCACCTCCCAGGTTCAAGCAATTCTCCTGCCGAAGCATCCCAAGTAGCTGGGATTACAGGCATGCCCCATTGTGCCCAGCTAATTTTTTGTATTTTTAGTAGGGATGGGGTTTCACCATATTGGTCAGGCTGGTCTTGAACTCCTGACCTCAGGTGATCCACACATCTCGGCCTCCCAAAGTACTGAGATTACAGGCGTGACCCACTGCGCCAGACCAGAAACTCACATTTTAAAGGCAAAATAGTATGTAAACAGGGAAACGGTTGTGTATAGAAAGTGCAAAACTCAGAGAGGTGCTATAGGGTGATGGTAGCTTGGAAACCAGCATGTCAACCTTACACAGGGTGGGACAAGAATGAGGTCACAAGGTGACATTTGAGCTTGTCAGGAAAAAGAGGCATCCTTCCTTCTACCATCTGTAATACCACTGCTATTCCAGTTAAGAAATGTTTAAAAGTTATGGGTGAAGAGAATGAGCAAGTAGTAAACCTAATTAACTCTTACTGTTAAAGTTAACAGAGTTTAAAAACTGATTTTTTTTAAAGTAGAGATAAACATATTGCAGGTAAAGAAAATTTACAGAAAGCCTTTCTAAAATAATTCATCACACATGATGTGTTTTCTTTCTAATACGTTGGAAGTGAACAGTTGAAACTCTAGAAGTAGAGACACAGACTTTAGTAAATGTACAGACTAATAAAAATAGCAAAATTTGCTACCAATGGTTGTCCTCTCAAGAAGAAATCTGAGGTGGGATGATGAGTTAAAATCTTGTTTATGGGTAGAACTCTTTTAACATAAAATCAATGGCATAAGAGGATTTTAGGGGTTAGGCTCGCACTAAGACTCTAAAGAGAGATATCTGTTACCGTCTACATATTAGATTCAATAAGAGAAAAACTATTAATAACACATGTAAGGCTAGTAAAAGAGGCAGTCAATGAAGAATAACAAAAGCATGAGGACAAAGAGGAGAAACACGCATTACCTATGGGGCCTAACTAAAAGGCTGTTGGGCTTACTTTCCTTTGTGGCCTTTCAGACAGTCTCATTGATTAGGAAAGCAATACATCACACATCTCTTGCATTTGCTGATCAACACTCTACATACCAAAAACAAGCGTTTATCCACATGTTCACATTTGAGGATGGCTTCCAAATTTCAGTCAGCAATGTTAAAAGACAAGACTCAAAACCACCAAATAAGGCAGCCCCCATACAAGGCAATCCCTGCCATCGTAGGACAGCATCGCTCAGTGCTGAGATGAGCACTCACAGCCACGGCCTCCTCGTGCCGCAGTCTTTCAACCCCACGCCACTGTCTGCGTGGCCTGCTTCCTACCCTGCCTGTCCTCACACAGTTCAGCGGCCCCGTCCTCACCATTGCCGGCATCAGGAATCAGCTGCTGGCTTCATATTAGGCTGCATGTGCTTTTCACCTCAGTCAGAGAGCACTGGTGGGGTTGCAGCAGATTCACATTGTGCATGTCGCATACCATAAAGGGGCTTCCAAGTAGTAAAATAGGCCCAAACAGAGCAAACCACCGTGTTGACAGAGCGAAATTAAAAAGCAATAAAACTATGGGTGAGAGATCCTGAGGCATAGGAAATGAATGAACAAGAGTAAGTTTTACAGGCATTTGAAAAAACGGCCAGACTGGGAGCACTACACCATCAGGAAACAAGAATGTCGTCGTGGGGTGTGTGCTGCCAGGCTCAGCTCTGTCATCAATTCTTTGCCCTGCCTCTAAACCACGCGGATGACAGGGTTAGGGCAAGAAGCTAATTAAAAATGATGAACTGATTCCAAAACCCTCACCATTGTCTTACACCAAAGGCATTTCCAATCCTGTAGGCGGAGAACACTGCCACACGTTTTGTCGCAGACGGCGCACTTGGCACTCACAGGCAGGTTGCCCTCGAGCCACTGGTGAGGCATCGCGAGCTGTGGAGAGGGAAGAAGGGGCAGCCAGGTGAAGACTGGCGGACACCAACCTCACCCCAGGGGAGATTTTGATTCATTTCTCACTCTAGGGGATCGATAGTGTGTGTCATGCATAGTATTCAGTCATTTACCCCGCATTTATTAAGCATCTATTATGCCCGAACCTTCGAGGAATATAAAAGTAAGGTAAAAGCCGTGCCCTTCAGGGTTCAGGTGGAGGTTTAGCTGAGGCAGGTAAAGGGATTACAATAAGGTGATCACTATGCACTACCAGAAACCCATATGCAGGGCACAGAGTTCATCAAAGGGTGACAACAACAGCCCAGCACTGCAGCCACTTCTAAATCCTATTCACGACAGATTTCCTTCAAAATCCAAGCGCTAAAGAAAGCGATGAAGGATTGAATTAAAAATAAAAACTCGGAATCCGTCAAACCCTCCACTAAATCCTAGTAATAAGTGTTCCTACTTGTCTCTCTATCACCAGCCTTCCACAAGAGCAAGACATAAAAGAGGAGTGACGGGGACGAGACCAGAGACAGAGCAGCAGCTTACGCCATCTTCATCTTCTATAATGTCCTTCCCGATGGAGGCCAGCGTGGTCCATTTACAGTTATTTGTGGCTCTCACTGCACATCTTTTGTGAGCCTTGAATTTACACACTAAAAAAAAAAAAAAAAGAGCAACTACTTTTACGTGGATAAGAACTTTTGGACCAATAATTAAAGGAAATCACAGCATAACATTTTAAAAGGGAGGGAGGCAGCAGAAGAAAACAAGTATGTTTAAAAGATTAAATTATTCTGCAACGATAGTAATGGTATTCTAGAAAACAAATACACCTATGTATGTGAAGCACTTTTATCAAGCGCTAAGTAGACTGCTACCTAGAGGAACAGAAAAGAAATGAACGCAAAAGAATTACTGCTTGAGAAGGCAGACAACACGTATACAGAAGAGAGGGAGACAGAGAAGCAAATAAAATTTGGTAGCAGGTCTGCTGGTGACAACCTATTTTTAAATGTGGGTGCTGATTACACAAACGTGTTTGATTTGTGAAAATTCATCAAGTTGTATGCTTCTGATATTTGTATTTTCCCATACACGTAAAATAATTGATTATAAGTCTGAAAACGCCAGTAAGATAAAGTTGATCTGGAGGAGCTGTAGAGTGCAAGTATACCAACGAGACAGCCAGACATCGTGGAAAATCGGTTGGTGAGGGTCACAGACACCGCGCTATCTTTGGAAAGTATTATGCTGAGACGACTAAACAATCAGCTGTAGAAAGAAAGGATGATGAAGTGATACTGTCACTACAGGCTCCCCAGCCCTATTATGAAAAAAAAGAAACTTATAAAAGAGAAATTGGAGGAAATAACTAGGAAAAAAAAAGCAGCACATATATGCAAAAACAATTACAGGTTATTTGAAAAATTAACAATGCTTATGAAAATCAGAACTTGACAATTACTAAATACATTTATCTCTCTAAGGAAACTATTCAAGGTAGTGGACCCTGATGGTCTATCAGTTCCCAACTTTTTAGCTAAACAGTTAAAATTAGAGCTCATTTCAATGGAAACATAATAAGGTAAGTGTTGCTAAATTTAAATGCAAGGTATCTCCTTTTCATGTGATTTTCTGGGTTCGAAGTCACTCGTTAACAGATTTTGCATTACACGCCATTCTCTTGAAAGTATCTTACTTTTATATAAAACAAAAACAAAAGCTTCAGGTAGAATAACTAAGACGTCTTTAGCCACATGTTCAAAATGCTTCATGTAGAATGACTAGTCTATGTATAAATGGACAGTTAAACTGAGCAGGTTAATCCTTGAAAAATATTAGGCTAGGCCAGAAGAGTGGCTCACGCCCGTAATCCCAACACTCTGGGAAGCCCAGGCGGGGGGATCACCTGAGGTCAGGAGTTTGAGACCAGCCAGGTCAATAAGGTGAAACACCATCTCTACTAAAAATAAAAAAATTAGCGGGTGCGATGGCACATGACTGCAATCCCAGCTATTCGGGATTCTTATGAGGCATAAGACTCACTTGAGCCATGGAGCCGAGATCATGTCACTGCACTCCAGCCTACGCGACAGAGTGAGACTCTGTCCCAGAGGAAAAAAACACTAATCTATGCACACTGGAAATGTTTTGTTTACCTTCTCTTTTGTGTACTTGGAAAAATTCTTTCCCTTCCACCATTTTTGTTAAAAATGTGTAACTCAAACACAGACTTCATAAAAATAATACTTCACTTGAGGCTCATGCCTGTAATCCCAACACTTTGGGAAGTTGAGGTGGGATGATCAGGAGGTCAGGAGATCAAGACCATCCTGGCCAACATGATGAAACCCTTCCTCTACTAAAAATACAAAATTACAAACCGTTGGCACGAAGATTCATTTTATTGTGGAAATGAGGCTGGAAAGACTAGTAAAGGTAGTGAAGGCTTCACACGCTGGAAGCTGAATTCTATGCTAATATAAAGTTATTCATAGTCACTGTTGAACAAATTATTATATTTGCATATCTTATAATATTTAAAGCCTCTTGATCTAATGTTTTTAGTTTTATCAAGCAAGCTGCTTATTTAGATTTTAGGGGGTTTTCAAAAGTGTAAGTATGACTTTATGATAAAAATATCCAGAAAAACCATATTCTCATAAAACATAAAAAGGCAATTTTTTTATATTTATAAAACCCTTGGGATTTTTTAAATCTTCTGCTACAGTTCTGAAAATACTAATAGGTAAGATACTGCAGATTTAAAAATTTTTACTAGCAAAGGAAATTAATATTAATATATGCTTATCTAAAAAAATTTTTAATCTGATAATTGAGACTTTTTAAAAAAATCCTGAAGATTACATTATTTATAGAAGAATATAACAAATTTATTTAAAGACTTTTAAGTTTCTTAATCTCACCAATTAACATAATTTTCGTTTTTCTTTTAAAATGCCTAGAAAATATTCAGTAATTCCACTACTGACACACTTTTTAAATAAATGTATTTAATAATGATAACCCTCAAATCAGAAGGGTACCACAGAGTGTGTCTCAGATGTGGTGTCTTTTTAGCATTTTTGCAGTAAAGATTTTAGTAAAATCTTTAAAATAATACCATATAAAATTACAGACCTGGTAGGAGTTATTCGGCTCTATGTGAACCCTTTTAGATTACTAAACTCATATAAAGGCCAATCAAATCTCTTTGGAACCATTCTTTAAGTCTAAAAAGAAACGTTTAATGCTTTCTCCAAATTTTCTCCTTCATGAATTTTAATGCATGAGGCCCATGATGCAAATTTCTAATTATCTACTTGATAAGTTTCTTACAAAACACAGTTACAAACTGCTTACAATTTATTTCACTAGAAAAGTAGTTTTATTGTATGTATTCTCATTTAGTTTTTATAGCGATTCTATGAGGCATAAATGACTATTATCCCCATCTTAACGATGAGGAGAGGAAAGTCTGAGTGAATTGAACCACTTTTCCTGGTTATAGTTTGGAATGATAGAAGTGGAAAAGGGTTTAACTAGTCTTAACCACCATGCTGTATCATATTCAATAGTTGAAACAATGCCATAGTGCAGATTTTATAGTTCAAAATCAATTAAGGCTGTGACTCTATTGCTACTTTATTACTTAATTATAAATAAGTGATATTCCAAATTACTTAAATGTTTGGATTTGAGAAAAAAGCTGTATTATTATATATAGTTTAAAAGTAGTATACAACAGTATAATCACTGCAGTATGAAATAAATCTAAAGAAGTTATAAGTTTTCTGTGGCAATTATTAAGGTATTTGCCATTGGCAGTCACTGCTCTTACATTAACAATAACTCACAAATCTGTTCATGCCTCTAATCCCAGCACTTTGGGAGGCCAATGCAGGAGGACTGCTTGAGCCCAGGAGTTTGAGACCAGCCTGGGCAATATAGTGAGACCCTGTCTCTAGAAACTTACAAAAAAAATTAGCCAGGTATGATGGTGCTTGACTGTAGTCCCAGCTACTGGGGAGACTGAGGGAGAAGGATCGCTTGAGCCCAGGAGGCCGAAGCTGCAGAGAGACTTGATCATGCCACTGCACTCCAGGGTGGGTGACAGAGACTCTTTCTCAAAACAACCAAAACAACAACAGCATAGGCCTTATTTTTAGAAAATGTTAAAGAAATTAGAAAGGATGATATCTATCTGGATTAAACAAATGAAATGAAAGAAAACAATATTTAAAACAATGCAATATAATTAACAATCAGAAATTCTGCCAGAGTAAATACTGTCCTCCGAAAAAGTTTTGCTCTCCATATCAACCAGAATAAAGAATCCCAGAATGATTATTACAGGGACAAAGATTTTTTTTTTAGATAGTAGTTCCTAGTTTCTTGAGGGTAAAATGCTGTATTCTGATTTACATGTCCTTTAGATGACTATGTTATTTTTTTCCTGAGCAAAAGTATTTCCCAAGCTAGTCCTATACGTGGAGAGCTCAATTTTAAGCTACAATAAAACCAGTGCCAGCATGTCTACAGTACGGTCACTGCTGGGAGAAACACATGCTAGGTGCTATAGTACCTTCGCAGGACAGGCCGTGGGAGGTGACTCCAGAAAGGCTTTCTCTGCACACGTTACAGAAGGTGGGTCGGGCATGGGAGCAGGCGTACCAGTTGTGCATCCCTGAGAAATGTTCCACATTAAACTGGGCCACCTGGAAATGAGATGTGAGGACAGATCTGCCATACCAGCAAACAAGACTACAAATGCTGAACTGTTTGGAACGTATATAGTTACAGTCAGATTTTAAAATCTATCACTTTGAAAACCAAAGCACTTCGCTGTAAGCTAAGAATTTCAAAATCTGGTATAAACGAGTTGCCGAATGAGTTTACACATACTTATGTTTGCACAGTAGAGCTCTAGCCCTTCGGTTAACATTTATTCTCTAAGAACATGAGACGAAAGAAAAGATGCTATTTTACCTCATAAGGTTCTCTGGTCTGTACAGACTTCAGAGAGCTGATCCAATCTTCCATCTCCTTTCTGTTCTCAGCACACAGCATTAGCCTTCTGAATGGAGTGATGATCTGAAAGGGATAATCCAATCTAATGATCGTTAATACCCAAAGAGAAAGATTGTCGCAAAACCTAACACACTCTGAGGCAATTCCATTTCTAACCTGAGCCTTTATTTCTTATGCTTTTGTCCTCTGTATATAGAAATAACGTGGTCTAGGAAAGAAAGAGCCTAAGGAGTTTTTCTGTCTTTGATCCTTTTGCTACTGACCTGGGCTCTTTAGTGCTTTTTTCTAAGGCTATGAACCCAGATAAACAATGCATTCTTATTCTACAAAATATCTCTTGAAAACCGACTTTAAATATTCTTCAAAATGGTTCATAGTAAGCTCAGCAGGAATACATAGTTTTCAATATGGCAAATATTTTTTAATTAAAAATCAAAGGAATGCAAGACTAAATTATTTCCTAATTTTTTTTTTCATGGTAAAGAGGGGGTTTCACCATGTTGGCCAGGACGGCCTCAATCTCTTGACCTTGTGGTCTGCCTACCTGGGCCTCCCAAAATGCTGGGATTACAGGCGTGAGCCACCGCACCTGACCACCTAATTGTCTTATTACCGTATCAAGAATACCCTGTTAATATTTAAATAAATTGAGTTTACATATCATTTCCACTGCCTATTTTAATGATTTATGAAGATTCTTCCCCCAATCTGTAGTCTACTGTACTACTATTTAGTGAGAGCAGGGATGAAAAATTACCATAAACATCCTTTTGTTGGCTTTAGGGAAGAAAATAATTGCAACTTTCACCTTTTCTCGTGTCATCAAAAAGGCAATTTAATTACATTAAGGACCTTACAGCAAGTGGTCTGAAAACTCATGCTGTCATAGCACCAAAGTGCTTCAAAGTAAGATTCTGAAATGACTTGAAAGAAGCCCCTATTTGTTTGTAAATGCAATATTCTGGTTGTAATCTTGAAGTTACTAAATCCTACCCATTTACTGTCAAGAAGAGATCATTTACTTACTTGCAGAACAAGAGCAAAATGTTGTATTCGCACCTAGAAACTATTTCCAAAGAATAAAGCATATATCTATTTATGTAGCAAATAAGAATTTTTCTCAAGTTAAAAGCCTCTTGATCACATAAGTCTAAACATCACATTGCATTATAGAGCAGATTTCACAAGTAATGAAAAAGCAATAATCATCTAAAACAAAGAAAAAGAAGGAATCCTTCCCGAAAGGAGTAAACTAGTAAAAGCCTAAACCATTACTATTCATCTTAAAAAATAAGTCCATTATTCAAAACAATAGAAATTAATCCAATCTTAGCTACTCACGAGTCACTGCCGCCTCTCATTTGTCATGGGTTTAGGCTACAGAACCCAGAAGCTTTGAATACATCTGACAGGCACTCACCCTTAAATACAGCCAGCCAAAAGTCACATGGAAGAGGAGCACCAATCAGTCAGCTCTGGATATTTGTTAATTGCATATGAAATTGAAGAGAACCTCACTTTTGCATTTTCTTGTTTTCCACGACCCTCTTTGGATAAAGCTTATTAACAGTTGGTCACTTCTCTTCCTGAATAAATAGTTAATGCAAAGAACAATGCCTCTCATTACTTAGGAGCCAAATGGATGCTTTATTGCTTCAAAATGTTTTTCTAGGACAGCTCATGAGATGCAGCAGAGAGGTACCATTAAATCATAATATACTCCTGGCTCTAATGACTGGCACAGCATTTCACAGTCTCCAAGTTTCACTGGACTCGCTGCTGTTTTCTGAATAAATATTGTCTCTAGCATTTATTGTATTTGTTTTTTGCTACCTTATACGATGTAACTCGAAGGATTCCCTCTCCTTCCCTCATATGAGATAAAGTATCATGAGACAAGCACTATTCAGACAAATAAACCAGGCTTGCTATTTTGTTCTTTAACTGTGTTCTTTACTGAATTCTAAGTAAAGCATAATGACTATGGTTTTAACTGTCTTTAGTGCCTTTACATCAAATGTCTGTAAAGTCATTTTGAATTCAACAAGAAGGGGAGACAGGATAAAGAACGGCTTCTGATTTTCTTTGTATACTTGGAATTACAAAAATGCCTCAATTCTAAATGATTTTAGCAATATAATACATGTGTTTATACACTAATAAAGTAAAATGCATGCATTTGCAATTTCTCCTTTTCAATAAAAACTTGTTCTAAAGTGAACCCTAATGAGCAAGGAAAGACCATAGCACATTTAATACAGTTACATTTTTCAAAGGCAAAGTTCTTCTGATTTATAGGCTCTGTGATTAAGAAATCTACTGATTATAAAGTGACATTATAAGAAGTCAGTATGAAAAAGAAATCATACTGGATTTGTGGCTTCAGTGCCAAAAATATCTCAGTGAGCAGTCCAGAGTTGTCTGGGCTCTCTAGCGGAGCCTGGCTTACCAACAAACCCTTAACACCTTCCAGACGGACCTTTTCCTTCCTGGGGTGATTCCTCAGCAGTCCTTCCATGCTCTAGTCCCCTCCCACCTTTTATGTAAATTCTTCCTCATCCCAGACTGTCCTCGGAAAGGATGGGACAGACACAGCTGTTGACTGACAGGCTCTGGTTATCCCTAGCTGAAATGCACTATATATACTACAGCAGTTTCTCATCGAAATCTTTATTAGAACATACCCGGGGAGGAGCAAACTCCAAAATATATTTAGTTCTTATTTTGAGAATAAGATGTCCTACAGGTGAGTAAATAGGGGAGGTGAAAGGATAGAACACAATCCCTCTACCACACTGGGGGGAGGGGTTATTCACCACTGAAAACCAGGCCTGGTGAGGAGGACAGGACCAGGACATTTCTGAAACTAGATGTTTTACTTTTCCCGGAAGAGCTGAAGCTCACCTATCCTAAAATATCTCCTAGTCCTTGTCCTTATCTCAGCCCCACTCAGTCCCTTCCTACCACCATATTCACCAATCATTTTTTTTCAGACAGACCTGAACTTAAGTAATTTTTTCAAACTATAACCACCATCCCCACCTCAGATTCTGGGGTACATCTGCCTGTCTGTTCATCCATTCAAGAATCTATTGAGCAGGTACTACATGCCAGGACCCAGGGATCAAAACCACGTGGGCTTTACCTTAAAGAAGCTACAAGGAAGACAAGAAGTAAACCAAGGACTTGCCTGAAAAAGTACTCCAGAAGATGGGGCCCAAAGGACCCACATCTAAATCAGCTCCCTAAGTGCTAACGCAGATAATATACAAACTCCCCATTAACAGAAATATTGCCCCACTGTGGGAGTTACTGGCCTATAAGGATTGATCCAACGACACCATTACGTAAGAGTCAAAAATTTCTCAGTCTGGCAATGCATAGAAATACATAAAACAATTTTGCATTAAATATAAAAATCTATAGGAGAATAATATTGCAGTTAAGATGTCAAATCTATAAATGTACGCAGGGCAAAAAAATATATACATAGCTAAGCACTACACTGCTACCTTTCAGTGAAAGGATGACAGGTAATTTTAATCGTAAGTGTTTTTGGCTGTGGTTTTGTTTTGTTTTTTGAGATAGGGTCTTGCTTTGCTGCCCAGGCTAGAGTATAGTGGCTCAATCACACCTCATTGCAGCCTCAACCTCCTGTGCTCACGTGATCCTCCTACCTCAGCCTCCTGAGTAGCTGGGACCACAGGTAGGTGCCATCTCATGCAGCTAATTTATTTTTAGTTTTGTAGAGATGGGGTCTCCCTATGTTGCCCAGGCTGGTCTCTATCTCCTGGCTTCAAGCCATCCTCTAACCTCAGCCTCCCAAAGTGCTGGGATCACAGGTGTAAACCACTATGCCCAGCCTTTCTGTAGTTTCTAAAGCAAATATGCACTACTTCTGTAATAAAAACATTACTTTTTTACTAAAAGAAAGATGAGACTTTAGAATTTAAAAATTTGCATTGTTCCAAAATAGGAATCCTCAAACTCTGCTGTACATTAGAATCATCTGGGGTTTTTAAAAATCCCCATGTCTAGGCTATACTCCATGAACACAGAATACCTGAGGGTGGGACTCCAGTATTTTGGGGGGCCAGGTGTGGTGGCTCATGCCTGCAATCCCAGCACTTTGGGAGGCCAAGGCAGGGGGATCAGTTGAGATGAGAAGTTCAAGGCCCAACATTTTTCTGAAAACTCTCAGGTAATTCCGAAGTGTGGTCAAGACTGAGACGTGGCATCTAAAGACATTTTATTGTTCCCCACAACAATGTTAGAACTGAATGAAAGAAGTTTCCAAAGAGAAGTGAATTAGAGAGAGCTGTTAATTCTCAACTGGAAATCACTAATATAAAAGCACAATCTAACTCTGTCTCTGAAGTTTGGAGTTAGCCCAGGCACGGTGGCTCACCCCTATAATCCCAGCACTTTGGGAGGCTGAGGTGGACACATTGTCTGAGGCAGGAGTTTGAGACCAGCCTACCCAATACGGTGAAACCCAATCTCTACTAAATATACATATAAATTAGCTAGGCGTGGTGGCGCACGCCTGTAGTCTCAGCTACTCGAGAAGCTGAGCCAGGAGAATCACATGAACCTGGGAGGCAGAGACTGCAGTAAGCTGAGATTGTGCCACTGCACTCCAGCGTGGGCAACAGAGCAAGACTCTCTCTCAGAAAAAAAAAAAAAAAACAACTTTGCAGTCAGACTGACCCAGCCTGTTGATCCCAACAACACGCCTTCTTACCCATCTCACTGTGGGCACATTTCCTGAGCTCCCTGAGCCTGTCTGTCCTCTGCTAAGAAGGGACAGAGCAGTACCTCACCTCTGCAGCATCAGGTGTGGATCCATGAGATAACCCAGGTAAAACATTTAGTATAGTCTCTGCCACGCAGTCAACCTCAGTAAATGTTGGCATCACAATTCTTCTCAGCAGTCAAAGAAATCACACACACATTTACAGATTTATTCTGCAGTATATATTTTTTGAATAAGTGTGGTCCAAGATGAAAGTCAAATGAAAAGTCAAAAATGGAGTCATGGAGACATGTGTCAACAAAATAGTCACGGACTAGGATGGGAATGATAACGACTGACTGGCCTGAGAAAATATTAGGAAAATATCAACCAACAAATTGGGAAAAAATGGACCCTCCTTAAGTGCACTTGCATCTAACCTTGCCCAAAGTGGAAGTATAAAATGGCAAAATGTTTATTAAAATGAAGAGTCTCAGAAGCTGTATGTCACTGAAAGAATTAAGCATGGTATCTCTAGTAAGTGTCACATGTAAAGTATTTAAGATAGCCAGCCACTCATTTGAACTCAGACTTTTATTCTGCAACGATGGAAATTCTGCAAACTTCTCTGGTCATATTAAATGTCCAACAACTTTTTCTGTTAGGAAATTCTTATTTCTTTACAACAAATTGATCCCATCTGCTCTATTGCAGGCTTACTGTTGTATTGTTAGTGATTAATCCTGAACTGCTTTGATTAAAATAAAAATTCATATGCAGTGTGAAGTCTTTCTGGGAAAGCAGGACAAGCAAATATTTTTATGGTGCTATATCAATTTTTATTGTCTGTATGATTATAATTCAGGTGATACAGTTTGATGTTTATTATAGTCCAATCAGAAATAATTATGCGTCTTTTTATTTTCGTTTTTAGAGATAAAGTCTCACCCTGTCACCCAGGCTGGACTGTAGTGACACAGTCAAAGCTCACTGTAGCCTTCAACTCCTGCGCTGAAGTGATCCTCCCGCCTCAGTCTCCCGAGACAGAACTATAGGCGTGTAACACGATGCCCAGCCAATTCTTTTATATTTTGTATTATGTGCCTTCTTATCACTAGCTTTGCTACACCTGAAGTTGCCAACTGCTCAGGCTTTATATAACTCTTCCATCTTTCCTCATGAAATCTATTTCTAACTCTTTAATTATGTATGTTGCTTTTCTACATTCTTTTATGGAATGAAATAATTCACTTTGGAAACTTAAATGTGCCAAACCACAATGTAGTCGTGCATCTGAGCAATTTTTTTTTTTTTTTTTTGAGACAGAGGGACCCTCTGTTGCCCAGGCTGGAGTGCACTGGCAGGATCTCATCTCACTGAACCCTCCATTTTTTGGGTTCAAGCAATTCTCCTCCCTCAGCTTCCCAAGTAGCTGGGACTACAGGCGCATGCCACCACGCCCAGCTAATTTTTTGTACTGTAGTAGAGACGGGGTCTCAGCATGTTGCCTGGGCTGGTCTCAAACTCCTGAGCTCAGGCAATCTGCTTGCCTCGGCCTCCCAAAGTGCTAGGATTACAGGCGTGAGCCACTGCGCCCGGCCCTGAAGGAATTATTCTGAAAGCAGAGTTACTCTCATATTTCAAAGAGTAAACTGGAAACCTCTACTTCTAAGAGCACAGGTCTGCAATTGCATATGTAAAGCTGAATCAAACTGAGGTGTTTTTTTGTTTTTTGTTTTTTTTTTCAAATTACTCAATCAACTCCAAAGCAGACTTGCTGAATCAAAATCTTGGTTTGTGGTGAGGTGTGGATAGTTTCAGATGTAGCTTGGCAAAGCTACTCAGGCGATTCTGATGCACACCGCTGTTTATCAACCCCGAGGGAGAGTGGAAGCATCCAATTTGCCTATTCGTAAAGGTGGGGTCAGGTATAAGTAATGTCAAGAGAGTGCTCTGAATCTTTATGGATCTCTTTCTTTTCAGCACCCTTCTATCCCAGATTCTCAGTGTTCTCATCTGCCCTCAATAGGATCCTTTGGGGGATCGGTCTGAAGCAGTCTTTCATCTATGGCATCCCATGTAATATAACAGAGGCCATAAAAATTATGACTTCTGATGTTTTTCTTTGTCCATTCTGTTTAACCCCTGAATGACTGTTTCATTTAACAAAGAATAAGGCTAAAATTCACCATAATTAGAGAGGAACAGCATATGCACCATAAGCCTGTTTTCTTCAGTTGGCCACTACATACTCTTATGTGAACCCAGCGGTTCCCTGGAGGCATTCTGAGTTTGCAAGCCACAAAGTCTCTTCCAACTCCTTTGTTTTCTGGGATCAATCCTTCTCCCTTTTATGGTCCAGGGTGTCTAGCCCCATCTGTTTTCTAATATGACAACTACTTACCTAAAAAGCAATTTTTCCGAGGTGTTAATAGATAATAAAGGTTTAATGCATATTTTCTCCCAAGGGTGCTTGAATTTTAATGGAAGACTAAGTAAAGTAAAATGTCACAACAAATGCACTTCTGGTACCATGACCAAAAAAAGTGCCACTGGTATTTTTAACAGATAGCATCATTTTAACCAACAGAATAATAGCATTTCAGATTAACAAGAGGCCTTATCATGCTGGTGCAATACCATAATGCTCATTTTATAGATGTGAACACCACGGAATCTTCGTTAAGTGCTCAAAAATTCTTGAAAGATGTTAGTTCCATGGAATCCCAGAATGCAAATTTTGTAATATCTAAAATGATGTAAAATAAGTTATAAAGATGTAATGGACTAATGATAGGACTGAAGCTGACAGGCAATTCACACACATTATTACTAATCTGCAGCTGAGATTTATAAAGAAATGCTGCCATGCAGGCAATGCACCATGTAAGCAGGATCCTAAATCATATTGTTGGTAGTTAAACTAAGGTCTTCCCTATTCCCTTTCAGAATGATCTAAAAATCTTTTCAGATGTCTGCTCAGAACCGTGTTTAGATTTATTTTATTTATTTATTTATTTATTTATTTATTTATTTTGAGACGGAGTTTCGCTCTTGTTACCCAGGCTGGAGTGCAATGGCGCGATCTCGGCTCACCGCAACCTCCGCCTCCTGGGTTCAGGCAATTCTCCTGCCTCAGCCTCCTGAGTAGCTGGGATTACAGGCACGCGCCACCGTGCCCAGCTAATTTTTGTATTTTTAGTAGAGACGGGGTTTCACCATGTTGACCAGGATGGTCTCGATCCCTTGACCTCGTGATCCACCCGCCTCGGCCTCCCAAAGTGCTGGGATTACAGGCGTGAGCCACCGCGCCCGGCCCCGTGTTTAGATTTATATACAGACACACACTCTCTCTAGTGATAATCAAAGACCTTTGAGAGTCACTTTGAACTTTCAGTTTTGGCTGACTGACGTCATTCTAACTGATCATTTGGCAGAATAACAACTTGAGGATTTAGGATATCAGTGAAGTATTTTGAAGGTATCAAACTCTGAAACATCCCCAAAGGTATTCAAAATAAAGAGGGTGGCATTTATCATGAACTGGAAAAAATCAGCACCAGCACCTCCTATGTATCTCTCTAACAAGCTATGTATCTTTTGGATGTGATATTTACTTCAAAAATCAAGCTACAAATCTCAAGAAATTACCTACACATTAACACACTTAATCGACTTGGAATTCTGGAGCATAGATGTGAAATAAACTCACTGTGTCAAGATTCTACAAAACATTACAAGTACTAAAAAACAAATTCTAATGGAAAATTTTTGTAAATATATTAAACAATTATTCTGAGAAATCAATGAATCAGAGAGAAGATAAAGACCTCTGGACAAGAGCAGAGTGTCTTTGCCAAGAGTGTCTTTCTCCTTTTCTATAGGAATACTTGACTACTGACTTGTGGCAAAAAAAAAAAAGGCAGTATCTCATGGATCCTTCAATTATCCATGCAAATTAAATATGAGCTAATTTACTACAACATATTGAAGAGAAGAAACAAATGCAGACACTAAATGACTTGTCCACAGTTAACACATTTCTTATATGAGGAGTTCAAAGTAATAGCATAATAGAGCAAGAAAAATTAAAAATATTATTTCTTCCTTGTACAATTACTGAACTGCATAACTATGCTTAATTCAGTAAATCTCTCCCTTTCACAGCTTCTGCATACCGAAGCAGCATCAGAGAAGACAGAAAAGAGGGACAGCTGAAATCTGGCAACCACATTTTCGGGATGCCTATTAAAGAATGAGGGGTTAAGTGCAATGATGTGAAAAATTTGTTTTAAAACACATTAGCTAAAAATAGGAAAGACAAAACAGATGAAGCAAGCAGGACAAGCTCTAGATAACACTAGGGGCTCGGCAATGGGATGTGGGGTCATTATCCAGTTATCCTGAGTTTGTATACATTTGAAATTCGTGTAATTTTTTAAAAAGTACCTGATACTTGATAACTCCACGTAAATCTCCAAGGAACTAAGAAGATGAGGGACCTGGAGGTCTCAGCCTCCTTATACACACACAGACCCCATTCAGCTCTTGGCCTGGGCTCACCTGGCAGCAGCCACCAGGACCTGTCTCTGACCTCACACCCCCTCCACCATGGCAAACTCAAATTCCATGAGTAATGTGGCTCCCTTCCTCAAATGACCTAAAATGACCACAGAAGCTAATGAGCTAAGACTTCTGGTCACTGACCGAGATGAGGGGATGAACTAAGCTAAACGGAGCTCTCCAATCTTACTTTCATAATTCTCGGACTTCAATGACTCTGCTTAAGTTTAGATCAGTTTGATTCCCTAAGCAAAACTCTACTTCCTGAGTTAGAAATCGTGGCATCATAACAACGTCATTTTCCGTGTTAATTTGACTTCCTTCTATAACCTAATCTTTATTGCCTTAAAGTATAAAATATAAATGAAACATAAATTCATATCTATTTCCATAAAAAAGGACCCACATATTTTAATGCTGTCAGCACCAATATTCTCACTGCATGCACAGAATTTCCACAGGAAATTCTAAAAAGAAACCTTCTTCTTTACCTAAATTAAAAAATCCAAAGTACTACAAAATCCAAATTTTCTTGAAAAGCATTTAATAAAACATTACACTTTAATAAAATAAAGATAGGTAAGGCAGCAGAAGCCAAACAATTTTTCAAATCAGCACTGACTTTACTATAGAATTTATATAGTCTTAGAATCTATACAAAGATTTCAAAGGAAAGCAATCTATTTAACATCTTTCTTTTTTTTTTTTTTTGAGATGGAGTTTCGCTCTTGTTACCCAGGCTGGAGTGCAATGGCGCGATCTCAGCTCACCGCAACCTCCGCCTCCTGGGTTCAGGCAATTCTCCTGCCTCAGCCTCCCGAGTAGCTGGGATTACAAGCACGCGCCACCATGCCCAGCTAATTTTTTGTATTTTTAGTAGAGACGGGGTTTCACCAGGTTGACCAAGATGGTCTCGATCTTTTGACCTCGTGATCCACCCGCCTTGGCCTCCCAAAGTGCTGGGATTACAGGCTTGAGCCACCGCGCCCGGCCCTATTTAACATCTTTCTGGGGCTATCATGTTGATACAGTCAGGAGGCAGGGAAATACTGGGCAAAAGAGGGCAGTTCCCCAGCAAAGGCCCTACTCTCAAGCCTGGAAACCGTGGCCCTAAATGAGAACAGTTATCCCTATTTTCCCATTTGAATGTTGCTTTTACCAAAAACACTCTGTTCTACCACACCCCGCATCCTGTACCCATAAAAAACCCAAATTTGGCCAAGTGTGGTGGCTCACACCTGTAATCCCAGCACTTTGGGAGGCCAAAGCAGGTGGATCACAGGGTGAGGAGTTCAAGACCAGCCTAGCCAACATGGTGAAACCCCATCTCTACTAAAGATACAAAAAATCAGCTGGACGTGGTGGTGTACACCTGTAATCCCAGCTCCTCAGAAGGCTGTGACAAGAGAATTGCTTGAACCCAGGGGGTGCAGGTTGCAGTGAGCCAAGATTGAGCCATTGCACTCTAGCCTGGGAGACAGGGCAAGACTGTCTCAAAAAACAAAACAAAAACCCAAACTCAACTGGCAGAGGAGCAGAGCAGCACAACAGAGAAGTAGAGAAGAGAAGAAGCATCTGAACATCAAAGAGGCAGCTGGCCACTTGAAAAGGAGTGTGTACAGGACAGGGGAAGATCATCTTCCCACTCCATCCCCTTTCCAGCTCCCCATCCCACTGAGAGCCACCTCCATCACTCAATAAAAACCTCTACATTCACCATCCTTCAAAACCATGTGACCTGCTTCTTCCTGGAGGCCAGACAAGGACCTGGGTACCAAGAGGGCAGGGTGTAAAAGGCTGTCACCCTGACTCCTCACTGAGATGGTTAACACTTAGCCATCTATAAACAGCAACTGCTAAAAGAACATTAGTTGTAACACACCCCTAGATGCTACCATGGGGCTGGAAGCAAAAAGCACTCACCCTGCCCCAGCACCTCCTTGCCCACATGCTCCCCCTCCCACAAGGGGTTTAAACTTAGCCAAGCAAAATGAGCCACCCCTCCCACCCCTGTCATTATGTCCAGCAGAGGGGTCGAGGGAACTGTCCTGTCTTAATGTCTTTAAGCCTGTATTTCAGAGTCAAGGTTCTGTTACTTCACAGAAAACTCTGATTCACCAGAGCAACAAAAATAGAAGGAGACAGTGAGACCATCGAGAATAAAGAGGTCTCTGTGCAGCTGCGCCCTCCTGCCCTGCCTTCCCTGGGAAAAGAACACGACAAAGGACCTGGCCCTGAGGAATCACCAAGAAAGGCTTTATGTGTTACTTGTTGGGGCATCTTATTATGTGATTTATATATAGATGTGTGTGTGTGTGTATATACACACATATATAATCATATGTTTGATAATAAATCACCATTTCTTTTGAAGACTATTGGTCAAAGCTAGAAGTTAATTTCTTAGAATTCAAACAAAAAAATTATAGTTATTAATGTTTAGTCAGTCCACACTGTACTAGTTTCCTACCGCTGTTGTAACAAATTATCACAATTTTAGTGGCTTAAAACAACACAAACGTACCCCCTTATAGTTGTAAATTTCAGAAGTTTAAAATCAAGGTGTTGAACAAAATGACAACAACAAATAACCTCATTAAAAAGTGGGCAAAGAACAGGAACAGACATTTTTCAAAAGACATGCAAATGGCCAAGAAGCATACAAAAAAATGCTCAACATCACTCATCGTGAGAGAAATGCAAACTAAAACCACAATGAGACACCATCTTACAGCAGTCAGAATGGCCATTACACAAAAGTGAAAAAACAACAGGTCTTAGCAAGACTGTGGAGCAAAGGGAACGCTTCTACATTGTTGGTGTGAATGTAAATTAGCACGACATCTACTGCAAACAGGGTAGAGATTTATCACAGAACTAAAAATTGAACTACCATTTGCAGCAACCCACTACTGGGTATCTACCTAAAGGAAAAGGAATCATTATATAAAAAAGATACCTGCATTCATATGTTACTCATTGCAGCACTATTAACAATAGCAAAGACAGGAAATCAACCTAAATTTCCATTAACCTAAGTATCCAGTATCCATCAACAGATGATTGTATAAAGAAAATGTGGTGTGTATATATAGATATTCACTCCATGGTCTATATATATATATATAAGACCATGGAACACTACTCAGCCATAAAAAAGAATAAAATCATGTCTTCTGCAGAATAATGAATGGAACTAGAGGCCATTAATCTTTTTTTTTTTTTTTTTTTTTTTTTTTGAGATGGAGCTTCACTCTTGTTACCCAGGCTGGAGTGCAATGGCGCCATCTCGGCTCACCGCAACCTCCGCCTCCTGGGTTCAGGCAATTCTCCTGCCTCAGCCTCCCGAGTAGCTGGGATTACAGCCACGCGCCACCATGCCCAGCTAATTTTTTTGTATTTTTAGTAGAGACGGGGTTTCACCATGTTGACCAGGATGGTCTCGATCTCTTGACC